TTTTGTGAAGAGTAAGAGTTTGTCCTAGATTCACGGCACAAAGTTGAATTTCAGAGGATTCGTGAAGATGTCCTGGAAAGTATCTTGGAGGTTGGAGTAGGAGTTAATGGTTACTACAGAGCAGGATGGTTTCCTGTTTTTCCTAGACTTGCCCTGTAGAATATCAAAATAACACATGCGTGTACAAATCAAAGTGGGCAATTCACCATTGCATTCTCTCTTTCTGCACATAGAGCAATGATGAGAGAGAACGGTTGGCTGTGACCAAGCTCCTCGGTCAGATGTTCTCCAACAAGGATTCTGACCTTGCATCACAGAACAAAGCCCTCTGGAACTGCTTTCTGGGGAGGTAAACAGGCTCGTTGCTTGACCATCTGCTCACTCGCAGCACAAATTTGGCTGGTCTTGACATGTAAACCAGAAGAGTGTTGAATTCACCAGTACTTTGTAGGGTACTGGTAGGTGTTAACATCCTTCAACCACTGACAAGTTGTCAGATTTCAAAATTTGTCTTTGGTTCATTGACGTAGAATTTGAGTTATGGTGTTCGTTATATTAGTTGTGCTCTCTAGGAAGCAGCCACATGTTAGACCATGCCTATAGAGGCTTTGCGTGGCAGCCATCCTTTAGGACAGTTCGTTTGTTCTACAGGGAAACCACCCTGGTGCATATCCAGTGGAACAGAAAAACTTGCCTGCAAGATAGCAGTCGTGCAAACCCTCAGTACGTTGTCTGTAGGTGTGTCTCCCTTGCTGAGCCAATCCTTGTGTGATCCATTGGAACATTTTGTTGATCTGCCCTCTAGATTCAGTGACATCAGCACCAGCATCCGGACCGAGTGCGTCAAATTTGTGCAAGAGTTCATCTTGCACCACTCGTACCTCATCGGTGATCTCATCGGTAACTAATACCATCTGTGTGCCCTCCAGAACACAGAGGATGTCATTTTGGGGATTTGATGCCAAGGGTCCAAAATCCATGGGTTATCTCACAGGCTGTAGAAATTATGGTTCTCTATGATATTTTTTTATAGAATTACATTTCAAAAGTCATTATTGAGTCTGAAGAATCCATTTGAGTAATTATTGAGTTAGGGGAGATGTTACCAGCATACACTTTGGAAGAGTGTAGCCCCTGTGACTGTACTGGCAGAGGACAAACCTTGCATTGTGACTAATCACTTGCAGAGAAATTACGTGCGCGAGTTCATGACACTGACGAGGGGGTCCGGCAGGAAGTAGTGTCGGCGATATCCAATGCGGCCAAGAGGGACATCACCAACATCAGTGACGAGATGCTAACCCTGATTAAAGACCGTACGCTGGACAAGAAGGTCGGTATCAAATGACATTACCTCGACCTGTCAAGGTGGTCGTCATCAGTACAATCATTGTGACTTGTCAGGCTTTTTCCAAAGATGTAATCTATGCCACTGAGATATTACTATTTAGTTAGGGGTCTTGTCCTAACATTGATGTTTATTCATAGCACTGTGTACGTATGTACAGTGTTTGGATGTCTGGTGCTTTTTCGTTTTCCTTTTGAAGTGAAAAGGGACATACGTGTAGTCCCTTGAGCTGCCGTAGGAAAGCACACGTGTATACAGAGTGTTATTTCCTTATGGTTTTGGGTCTATTTTGTACTGTGCGGATCCAAATTTGGATAAGAAATTTGTCATTTGCCTCCGTTATGCATCAAGCACTGTGTCGTCACTGCTGTCTGGAACATATGGCAAGTGTATTCAGGTGGGATGTGAACCCAGAACTTGCTTTATGGTGTAGGTGTCTCAACACTCAGCCACTGAGTTTGCCAGGTTTTGTTGACAGTATTGAAATGGACAAATGAGTGGACTACGTGCCCTGTCTTTGATTTCAGTGGAAGATTCGCAAGGAGGCAGTCTTAGGGCTAGCCCACATCTACAAGAAGTGGCACAGTAGTGAAGATCTGTCGGCGCAAGAACGCAAACGCCTATCCTGGATCAAGGACAAAGTTCTTCATATGTACTACCAGCCCATCATTGAGGACAGGTAGGGCTTCACAAGGCTTAGCCTTTTCAAATGTGGATGTGGTTTACTTTCCTCTGAAAGTCTGTTTCCAAGTAATTTCAGAAGGTAAATATGCTTTTCAGGGCAGAAATGCACCAGAGAACGTCAGTGGGGGGCCACGAATATGCTTGCAAAGGTATTCCTCTCATTTCAAATGTTGGGATGAAGTGTGCTGTGTGCACTTGTAACGGGTTGAAAAGAATGGAAGAAATAATGCCTGCATACGATGCATCCACATTTGGGATGACATCCTTCAGAACGGTGCCCATCGCTTAGTGACATCTTGGTGACAAAATACGGGCATGCAACGTTTCCTCAGATCAGCTGATCAGCTGACCTCGTATTTTTACTCACACTCATGCCATTGAAAACTGAAAAACACTGTACAAAGTCTTGTCAAGATTGGAATTTCCTCATTTTTTTGGAAGTCCAAGTTTCGTGCATGATCATAAGTGAGCACTATTTCTTACATTTTTAGCCTGTTGCTCGTTTATAGTTTGGCATGTCTTATAGTACACACAGGCTCACAACTGTTATTTTGTCCATGGGTTTCACAGTGGAGTTGCACGGATCACAAGTTAACAAATCCACCGCCCACTCATTAATTCACCGCGGACTCAGATACCTGGGCCATGTTATTGAGTCTGTGAAACCACTGTTCGAACGTAAACTGAAATCTAGCCTGGTGGATTTTTACGAAGAACGCTCCACTAAACTCACAGCTGCATGACAGACACTGTTCCCCCTTATGTACGCAGGTTGCTTGTGGAGAGGGTCTTCACCATGACACTGGTTCCCTTCACTTTGGAGGTCAAGCTGCGCATGAAGACACTCCTGCACCTGTTTGCCACGGTGGATCGCCATGCTGTAAAGTAAGTCCAATTTGAAATTACGTTAACTTTACTTTCCTTTTCTTGTGAACATTCGTGAGATTTCAGTAATCAATTTTAGATTATCGATCATTGTTTAGAGCCATCTTAGGTGGAGAACTTTGCCGATCTCCTCAGAAAAACTTTGGCAGTAAACTAATATTTCCATCTGGAGATGCTTATCCCTAGTTTTGATATCTTCGTAGTGCTCTTCTTCTCTGCTATAATTAATTGATCTGGCCAATTATGTCGTATACCTTTAAATTTTAGCTCAGCTTATTTAACCCATAACAATTTGATTTCACCGTCGAATTGGGCCATTTATGCAAAATTTAACATTGCAGAATGTAGTGCAGAATGTAGAAAACACCAAGGCAAATGTCATGAATGTCTGAATTCAGATCGAATTCAAGTCCAAACTTTGTCCTTGGCAGAGCGCTGATTGAAATGATGAAGAATCAATACATTGTAAGGACACATGTCCGAGAGCTGATGGACACCTTCAAGAAGGAGAAGGAGGAGAGAGCGAAACTCATCCACCCAAAGGTTGTCGCCATCTCAAGTAAGTTGTGAGAATGTAATTGAAATTTGCCAGGTAAAAAAATAAAATGATGACGTAACGATTGACTTGCTGCCCAAATCCAATTCTGTGTCAAGTATCTTGAAAGTCAGTTGATGTGTTGTAGCATGCGGTTTGGCCGTTCATGGTGTGACCCATGGTGTCAGCGTTAATGAAGAGTGGAGTTTTTCTATCAGCCTTTAACCCCCCTGGTCTGTGAAGCGATGCTCATGTTTCCCGCTGTAGTCCCGCAGAATTGGATGTTGCACTAACACAGTTTTATCAGCAAGAATCACTTTGTCTCCTGTCTGGCAGAAAAGTGTATTTATACCATGTTGCACTTAAAGCTCCATCTACATGAAAAACAAAACAAAGCCGCCATCATGCCCTTCCGTCAGACACAAGAAGGGAAATTTGCCTACAAATGCCATGACTTGGCTTTGTGCAAACGCAGGGATACATTGATATCCACGTGGCTTATCCATATGAGGATTAAAGAATGCAGTAAAAGGTGCTGTAGATGTTTACGTATCTTAGTCTTAATCCAAGTCCCAAAAGACTGTTAGGAGTGAAGGAGTAAGCAAGCAAGAGCAACAAACACAACATGTCCATTGTACTTTGATGATGATTTCAGAGCATCTCCCAGAGCCTAGCAAAGCCATTGATCACTTGAAAAGGCTGGTAGGCCTCCTTGAAGAGGACTTAAAGGCCAGAGCAGCTATGGAGAAGGTTGTTGAGCCCAAGGTAACCTGTCGAAGGGCCACGCAGTCGGTGGTGAGTACAATGCAATCCAAGTTGATGACATAGATGAATAGAAGAAAGACTGGTATGCGTCATGGCTTGCCGTGCACTTGGAAGAGCAGTTGCTCTTAGCCAGGTTTTTGAGGAAGACTTTGCGTTTTCCTTGAGGAGGTTTAATGTTTGGGATGTATATTTTCTACGTTTCTGAGTGTTACAACAGTTACAGAGAGATTTGGCTTGTAAATTTGAACCTTTCATGTTTGCTGCGTGTGGCTATGTTGCAAGAAGTGGTGACTTTATCTAGAATAAAAGCAAACCAAATTGCTTGAATATCAGAAGTCTTACCTGCTGTCAAGAGGCAACATGCATACAGTCGATTTCTAATTGAACTTCGTTTATTGATGGGAAAACCTAAGAGTTCAAAATCACAAATTTCCTGAATGAAAACATGGATTGTCCTCTTTCACAGAGTGAGGTCCTGAAGAAGTTTGGCAACCCCAGCCAGCCCACTCCGACATTTGACACCATCAAAACGCTCATGGAACGAATTGCACCCCTCGTCATTGACGCAAATGCCATCAAGGAGCTCATTGGCATCGTGGCGGAACACGTGGAGGGAATCGCCGAACCGTTTGAGGAGCGGGCAGACGAAACGACCGAAGTCAGGGGCCTTCGGCTTCTACAGGTCAGTTACCCTCACCAAGCATCCAGAGTTTAACAAAAATATCGGGTTCTATGCTAACTCTGTTAGTCAAGATTCTCCAGTTTGTTCAGCCGCTTGATTGTTTGTTATGACCAGTGTTGATGTGCTCATGATTACAGAATTTACCCCCAAGCAAACGACAAGAAACGCGACGATTTTAACTGGAATATTCACAAAGTCTTGATAAATCTCAGGATGTTATTACCTTAAAATGCCCTTTATAATTGCTGAAGTTTTTAAACATTTTAACGTAATCAGACACAGTTTGGGAAGCACCGTGCCAAATCTCTTTCAGGAGCGAGTGGGGGGGGTATGAAGAGAACGTCTGTACTCAAAATGTTTCAGAGGGGAGTACAGAAGTTCTTGTCAGAACCCCACTCATTCCTGAAAAAAAATTTCACACGGGTGCTGCTGCAAACCTCGCCTCTGTACTACGTCCACCTTGCAAACCTTCAAATCTTATTGGATTGCAAATCAGAAATTGTTGCATTTGTATAACTCTCAAGCAGGTTGTAAAACTGATGCGGTTTGTTCATATGAAGGTCCATACAAGCTGAGTCATACTGCACTTTTACTGTAGAGGGACTCGACTGCCAAAAATCCACCTGCATAAAAATCTCCGTAGCAGATGTATGTTTACAAGACTTAAAGAGTCCTGACAGTATGACATTTGACATAGGGCTTGATTTCTGGTGTTAGAAAATATGCCTGTGGCGCACTGCATAAGGATGACTCAGGTTGAATCAGTCCGGTTTGTCAAAGGTCTTGAGGGGGAAAGGCATTGGTATTGTCCCCAACATGCTCTCCATAAAAACCTCACTGAATTTTCCGAAATCCTCTGCCGTGCAAGAACCCCTCTGATACCTTCTTTGCGCTTCAACTCTCAAGTTTGACCTGATTGTTTTGTTTTTCCTGGCAGACTCTGGCTCCAGTTTTCCCCAGTGCCTTCAGGAGTGATGCCAGCTTTGACCAGCTCCTCTCCATGCTCAAGCATGAGGATGACTCCGTCTCGGACGTGGCTCTCCAGATCTTCATCCACACCGGACAGAATCTGAAAGAGGAGTTCCCAAATATTGCATCGTAAGCAAGTCCCTTGCATTGTTCCATTGCGTGCGGCCTGAGAGGCACTATTTACGCAGTTTCCAAGATGCCCTCGCTGTAGCTTTTTAAAAGAGTGTCTTTCTTAAAGTAGAATCGAAAAAAGATTTACCCAGCCACAGATGTCCACATGTGATCATCGTTATTTTTCTTTTCTGATAGAGCTTGTTATTTTCCACTTACTCCTCAGGTGCCTCTTACCTATCTTGATTTGTAAAGCCAAGACCGGCAGCCCCTCCCAGGCCAAGCATGCCATCCGATGCATCAACGGTGTCTTGGGCAAGAATAAAGTCGCTGTTTTCCAGCAGCTGTATGACGTGAGTGTCGGCACCATCCAGCTTGAAAAGCACTCAAAGAGTCACGCATCTCTCTGTTTCCATAAAAACTAAAGACATTTTTGCTAGGCACAGAGATTGCTACCATTATATTCAACTTTTCATCCTTAATCCATGTTGCACCTCCTTTTGTTTCAATGTACTTGGTGCATTCCAGCAAGGATGTGACCGACTTAAAATGTTTCATTTTTCAGACCGTGGGCCGTGATCAGCAGGCTTGATTCTCAAGAAGGTCACAGTTATATCTCTAGACATTTTGAGGCATCAAGCTTTACATCTGTCATAAGAGGCTTAGTCCAAGCGGTGATGGAGAGTTTAACCACACAGACACCTATTACAATTTACAAAGACGAAAGCTTTTTGTTCAGGAAAGCAGATTTCAACTCTGCACTAGAATCAATTAAATTCTTTTGTGAAATTCTAATCACCAACTTTTACTTCCATTTACAGAGCCTTCAAAAGTGCTTAAATCTGAACCATGAGCACCATTTGACAGCTCTCGCTGCGGTGGGAGAAATCGCCAAACTGGCCCCTGAACATTTCTGCAGTGCCATGAAGCCAGTTATAGCAAACAGTATCGTCAAGGGGCTGCTGATGCAAGATCAGACAGAGGGAACCCCAACCAAGGGCATCTGGTGCCATGACAACCAGGTTGCCGAGGAGACATTGGCCAAGGTTGGCATTTTAATTGTCGGAATATTTTCTTCACTGAAATAGTTGTATACCTTATCACTTTATTTTTAAAATGAATGACATTTTCTCCAACACTATGTCAAATCTTTCTCTTGCCACCAACCACATGTGAAGCATTTAACTTGAATTGACGATATTGTATACCAGCTTTATTTTAAAAAGATGCTCCGTCTTCCCTCATCAAAGTAACTTTCTGAGTGTGCAATGGTGTGCTTTCCTGTGGAGACTGTGTGATAATCAATTATATCATTGTGCACCATTAAATAAGGTTATTTGTAGTTTTTGCATTTGTACTCACTGTTGCATCCAATGGCCTTATTTTTTCAATCCTAATACAATTGTGGATACAATTGTAGTATTCATGAAATACCGCAAAAATATTATCAATTTGAAAATCTCAAAATATATTTAGAGGCCTAAAAGAACCAAAAATAATTCACTTGAGGTTCAGGTTTATTTCCATACTATAAATATTTGAACACAAGTGGGGAAGAAAAAATTTGAACTGAACATATTTATTATTCGCTCTAAGCAGGGACAAAAGAGGGAGTTTTTAAATTCCACTGGCAGTCCTGTGGTATGAGCTCACCACATAGGTGTGCAAGTTTATGTGCGTCCGGCACAGGGCACGCTGACTTCGCGTAATGAATTTCTGCTGTAATGTATGGTCTTTGCATGCACTCCAAACGTGCAAGAACCTGTTTGGAAACCTTGTACCAGTCTGTCTTTCTTTCGCCGGCAAAGGTGCACTTCAACTCAGGGCAGATAGTGTAATTTGAAGTGTTACAGTCGCATGGCATATGACATGTTTGTGATATTAAGCCGTTCAGTGACTGAAGATTGTTTTGATTGCCTGATATTGCACCCCCTAGTTTTCATTTTGTGGCTTTGCAGATCGCAGCCATGAAGTTGCTCGTTCGGTGGCTGGAGGGACTGCGTGCATGCAACGCCCAGGACACCTCACCCTGCGTGTCCACCATCCGACTCCTGATGACCATGATCAAGAATGAGGGAGACCTCATGGAGAGGAAAGCCATCAGGTAAGGAGAAGACAGTTGAAAAAACCACCAAAATTCTGGTTCAATATCGGCAGGTGTTTCTCTCATTCTGTGAAAGAAATTCAAGCCCTCTGTGAGGAGACCTTTCCAGAGGTCTGAGCGCAAAGACCAAGTGAAGTGAATCGGGAAAACAACACTTGGTGGCCGTGGGGTTGTTTCTGTGTGTTGTTCTGCATGTTTGTTTCCATCAGTACAAACAATGCTCCTCTGTGTGAATTCTAAGACTGTAGAATAGAAGCCCAAGTTCAGCGTTTGTTCATCACCCAGTTATGTGACTGAGAGAACAGACTTAACTTCTTCAGTAGGTGAAAAGTACAGGCACACCTGTGCCAGCTGCAAGAGCTTATCAACTTCAAACTGTCTGAGATACTGCACTGTGGAATTGCCCAGTGACACATTCTTGTACTTTCAAAGGGAATCAAACACTAGGAGTGGCTGGGATGTACCTTGCTCAATCTTACAAAATCCTGTAAAAACGTTACGGTGGATTTTGAGAATCTAGGAGGGTTATGAGTTTGGGTTAAGTAATATTTGGCTTGTTATCAAATCCGTGCCTAAGCTCCAAATAATGGGTATCCGGTTCAGAAGAGAAGCTCTCAAAATCATTATTTTGTCAGCAGCACTTGATTCATGGTCAGGACGGGTGTCTTGGTATGTCATCAAGCACTGCTTTATCTGATTGTCTCCTGTTTGATCCTCTTCAGTAAAGCGGACATGTCTCGGCTGAGGCTCGCTGCAGCCTGCTCCATGCTGAAGATTGCCCAGGTCCCTGGCTACCACGAGCTGGTGTCCACCGAGCATTTCCAGCTTTTAGCACTTACGATCAATGTAAGTAGCATGTAATATTGCTCCTCACTCACGTAACTGCCTTGCCAGGCGTTCAGGGCAAGGAACCACCCTATTTGTACAAAAAGAAGATTAATTCAAAAAGAAAAAATGTTTCACACTGATGGTTTGTGTGCTGCTAATCTATTAATATAAAAGTCCAGGCATTTTTAGGTTCCATAATTTTTTGGAATTATATGCCTGGCGGCTTAAAGGGCAAACTCTGAAGGATAAAATCAGTCACAAAACTTGTGGCTGGGCCACGCATACCATGTGCAGGTGGCGCAGTCATGTTTTCATTGGTTGCTGTTTACATCTGAAAACTTGAACTTTGGAGAATAAATTAAAATTTGAGTTATTAACAGAATTCCCCAAGTCACTGAGTCACGAAACACATATATGAATGTAATCGTAAACTTTACTTGCTCTGCTGTGGCAACATTTTTGTGATTATTTTCCCACTTTTTATTCAATCTCATGGTGTATTTTTTGCAGACAAATAATCCTTTTATTAAGATTTTTTTACTGTTGTAATCTAAAGATCTCAAATTTACCATTTCCGTGTCTCTTTGTGTCTCTTTCGGTACAGACATTCTATTTTTTAATATTTGTTCTGGCCTGGTTGAATTTAACTTTAACACTTGTGTATAAAGCTTGAAGAGGTGAGCATTCCATTATCTTTTATCACATCTGAAACTCAGCCAACTTGCAGATTCATGAACCTCTCAGTGATTGGACTTTTCTATTACCACAGATTCCCTGTGGGAAGTCTTTCCAATCGTGGCAATTTCTTTTGACACCAGCAGTGTAGCCTTACAGACTGATATCCCTCAAGTCAACCACAGGATTGTAAATGTCATGCTTTTTTTAAAATTCGAAACGATTTTTTTAATGAAGTGAGCCACTTTGATATGTCAAAAATTAAAAAAAAAAAACTAAAACAAAATAAAGCTCTTCACATCATGTGCCATGCCTGCTTGTGAGTCGGTGTACAGCGGAACTGATAAGGCCAGCCTGGTGTGTGGATTGATGTTCTCAAATGACCCATGATGTGCTTCATTTGTTGGAAGACTAGCTGATAGTTCTCCTGCCCATTTTCTCCCAGGATGAGTGCTACCAGGTGCGCGAGTACTTCGCTCGCAAGCTGAACAAGGCTCTGAGCTGCCTGCGTCTCCCGCTCAGCTACATGGCCATCTTCTCTCTGTGCGTCAAGGATCCCGTCAAGGAGAGCCGGGCCAACGCCAAGCAGTACCTGGCCAAGAATATACAGAACAGGAGGGAGTATCTCAAGCAGCACACAGTGGAAAATGGTATGATGCCCTGAGGTCTCCTTCGTAGGTGGCCTTTGCGTGAATCGTGCCGGCTACTCATTCTGCAGCATTTGTGCAGAATGAGAAGAAACGGGAGTTGTAAAAATGCAGATTGAAAGGTGAAGTAGGCCTTGCAGAAGGTTCGTGCTGAAAATGCCAAGAACTTGAACGCAGTCCGGAGTAAGAATACATTGGCTCTGTTTGAATGGTTGTCAATGTAGACTCTCCAATTTTATGTAGCAGTTAGGCATACTTGCAATTTCCCCTCCAGATCAGATGACCGTCTCTTCTGACTCTTTACCTAAAGCTTTGAAAACTGGCGCACACCAATGAAAGACCTTTGTGGAGGGGATATCTTTTCCCCATTTACGAGTTGCTGATCAGATTATTGACATTGGCAGAGAGAAATACAGGACATCCTTGTGTATTTCAAGAACCCGGTTGCAATGTTAAGCTTGAGGTGGATACGTTTTGTTCTTGTGTCAGAGCAAAAGCTAGAAATCAAGATGTATGAACGAGAGGAAGCATTTCTTGACACAAGCGAGGGATAGAAATAAGAATTGAAATCGTCAACCAAATCCTGTTCTGAATCGCATTTGGTCACTTCTTCAACAGCTGTAAGAAATAACGAAACCACTTTTCCACTCTAATAACAACAGCGCGCACAAACAAACAGTCCGCTTTCCTCAAGATGTCTATTTTCTCTGTATTTTTCCCCCTTTCCTGCAGCTCATCTCTTGACTCTTCTACCAGAGTACGTCATCCCCTACACAATCCACCTCCTAGCCCACGACCCTGACTTCACTAACCTCAAGGATTTGGAAGGATTGAGAGACACAAAAGAGTAAGTGCTTGGTTCGTTCTTTTCTCAACCCTCGAGATTTAATCAAAGGACGACAGCAACAAGTACGGCAGTGCTCACTATTCAATGTTGCTCTGATAGCGCCATACACATTGTATCCGTCATGTGTTGAGTAAGTAACTGACCAACTGAACTGGGCTTTTTGAGTCTTACATTTTCTCAGTTTGTGATCTGACACAGATTGGGCTTGAATTTCCTAGCTTCTTACAGTCATACAACTTTTCCTCGGATCAGCTGATTTCTTTGCTTTTCACTTCACACTCCTGCCTCTGAGAATTGAAAAACATTGTACAGAGTCTTGTAAAGATTGGAGCTTCCTCGTTATTTGTCAAAGTCCAAGGTTAAATTCAAGTAGGGAGGTACCTTTTCCTGTGTATAAATGTGATCTCTGAGCAATGGATGCCATGTAGGTTGGATACTTTTCAAATCCTCTTGCCGGTGTTTGCAACAGGTGCCTTTGGTTTATTCTGGAACCCCTGGTTAGCAAGAACGACAACTGTAGCTTCATGAGGAAGCTGATTGAGACTATCAAGCAGATGAAGGACGCACAGAACCCTGACGACAGGGGAGTGAATAGGGTAAGATATCAACAAGAGCTTCATCAAGACTGAGGGGTCAGGGATTGGGGGCTTGTGACTGGGATAACAAGGGTAAAATGTCAATTATAAAATGACCACTACAGATTGGCAGCAAACTCCTAAAGGTCAGCATGATAAGAATTGCGTTGCAACACTATCTGGAGAAATGTATGGGATACTCCCCCCATTTTACAGTTAACAGGGGAAGAATCAGTTGGTTTTGTACCTTTTATTTGTAGGATGCACATTTTGGTGTGCCTCCGGCACACTTTTGGTGGGTAGCTGCATAATTACATAATGCTTTGAGTGTTAACCTTTGTTGTGTCCTCATCTAGAAACTGTACGCCGTGTGTGACATTGCCCTGGGACTCATGTTGAGCAAGACGCCGGCCTTCACCCAGAAGGAGCATCCCGTCAACCCGCTCCTCCCCAAGCAGCTCTTTGTGAAGCCCAGGAAGCCTCTCATGAAGACGGAGAGCGTCCTCCCCAAGAAGATGCAGGAGGAGTTCACCCAGCAGGAGAAAAAGGTCGGTGGCATCTGAAGAGACTTAGGCCCTCAGGAGTAATCCTGCAGAGCTATATTTGCTATTGTTTAGTGTTCAATGTTTTGAGCTTATACTCTTTGAAGCTTAACCCCTTCGCTAAGGAAGACTGCTACTACAGCACCTTTGTGTGAGGATTAGTGCATACCACACATACAGTCTATTCACCATGCAGCTGCTGGTTCAATGGGGCCTGCTGCTGGACCAAGCCCTCCATTCATGGCATGCCACAGCCCAGCAGTCGTGGTCAAAATAATCCTGCCGCGAAGGGCTTAACTTTAATTTTTCTGGGCCGTTCTCCTTTCACAACTGTGCCCGTGCTTAATTTTTCATCATTTATGCCAAGTCTCGCAAGTCATGGTTGAGTAGACCGGTTGCACCAGCTAAGTCACGTAACTTATAGTGGTTATCAAACGTCAACAAATATGGTGTCGTTCTATAGCAAAGTATATCATAAGTGTTATTTACCAAAAATAATGCCGATTTTCAGTATAGTGCTCAGCACATCAGCAGTTTTAGTACCTTACCGACCATCAGCTTTATTTTTGGTAAATGACACTAATTATACCCTTTTCTATGGGAGGACACTGTGTTTGCTGATGTTTCATAACCACTATTGGTCAGTCAACTTAATGGGCGCAATCTGACTGTTTAATTTAATGACCGTGATGTGAGCACATGCTTTTAAGTTTTTAAATAGTGTTTGACTTGAGAAAATGAGCAGTGATGCCTTACTGAAGGCTGCTGGTCATATTCAGTGAAAGTTAGGCTGTAAGGTAATTTCAGTAGACACTTTGCATCAAACAGCTCAGCAGGTTCCCCTCATCTAGGGTCAGTGCAGTGAAGTGGTTAGCGTTTATGACTCATGATCCAAGGCTCAGGGGTTCGAATCCAGCTGCTTGCTGTGAGTCATAGCTTTAGGCAAACTACTTCCCCCTAATTGTCTCTCTCCATTCAGGAGAAGAAATGGGTTCTGGCATTAGCTAGGGGGCAACCTGCGATAGACTGGCATCTTATCTGAAGGAATAGAAATATCCTCAGTCATTTCATGCCCTGGATATCAGATTGAACCAGCCTGATGGGTTTACATCGACTCAGAACAGACTCAGTTTTTGTGCAGAAGGTATTCTGTCTTTAGCAGTTACATAGTTTGTGCATTTAGTTTCCAAAATCTTCCCTTTTTCAACAGAAGAAGAATGCAGCAGACAAACTCCTAGAGACCCCGCCTCCGAAAGGTGCCAAGGCCAGTAAGAAAGGCCAGAAGACGGATCCTACAACACCCACCAGTCCTGCCTCCCCGGCCCCGCCCATCCAGAAGACACCCAGGGGTGATGAGAATAAACCAACCTCGGTTGGCAGTCGGCGGTCTTCAAGATCAGACTCCGTGGCCAACAGTGAGACAAAGCAAAATGTCAAAGAGAGGTAAAAACTAAACGAAAATTCTATTAACATTCACATTTTTCTTACAGGTTTTTCACTTCTGTTTAGTTCCAGAAAAGGTACGTTAACATTCCACTCTAAATTTCCTTGATTGTTGGAGTTGTATGTCGGAGTACATGAGAAATATAGCCTCTTTTGCTCACCAACTTCATAACCTGCTTATTGCTGTTGTAAACCTTCTGGATAGTTTTGTATAGATTACAGATTGGTTTGTTGATTGCATTTCAAGCGTTGAACATCTTCATGTCAAACTGGGTTATCGATGTTATGCTGCTGGGCAGGGCGCTTTTTCATTTTTCTCAGTTTTCATAATCCTTCAAAAATGCACATCTTCATTTGCTGGACCTGAACACCCAAAAGAATGACTGTCCTGTGTTGACTCTAATCTGACAGGCTACCTCCATTGATGCTGCCCAGTAAAGAGCCCCCCATTATGCGATGTTGCATATTTTTCTCTTTATTCTGGGCATTAGCCCAGTGCGTTGCTATGCTGGATTGCCGATGTTGCTGTACAGAGCGCGTGGGCCATGAGGGTGAACCAGGCCATTCATCAGGTGTATCGGCACAATGAACTCTACATAATACAGCCAGATTCCAAGAGCACGCAGCGGTATTATATCGCTGATTGCTGGACCGCTGGTGCGTTTGCTTTCGTCCCCGCTGATAATTGGTGGGCGTTGGTAGCGGCAAACAATGATACTGCTTCAAAACAATGATGTTTATTTAAATATAAATATATGTTGGGTGAGGGCAAAAGCTGTAATGACGGATTACCTCTGCTAATGGCCAGCCCTTTGCACTGACAGTGTACTAACCTTCATTGGCAAGTCCCAGCAGCTCGGTCATTTGTTTCCAAGTGTGGTCACCCCGGCCATGAATAAAGGTCCAGTTTTCCGGTCCAGTGAACCCATTGTTGCTCGACAATGATGGAATTACCTTCGCTGTTGGCCCAAACATTTGACCGACAGGAAGTACTTTTTCAAAAAACGCCCAGCAACTTTATTAATTTTTTTTTTTAAAGTTCCAATTTCGGGCACGCTGGCCTCATGGGCCACACACAGTGTCAGCAGTACCAGGCACCCTTGCCTCATGGGCCACACACAGTGTCAGCAGTACCAGGCAATGTTAGACATTTGTCCTTTTGACACTCTTCCAGTCAAACTGAATGACAAATCTCTGATGTGTGTGGTCAATCTGTCACAGACAAGAATTTTCAAGCTATTGTTGCATAAGGGAGTTGTCACTGAGATGTAATGTTTGGTTTCATTTCAGGAAAGGGTCAACGCGATCGCGGGGAAGTGCCTTGGCAGAGAACAACGCAAACAGTTCCATCTCCTCGCCCTCACCATCTACCTCCCCGAAGAAGCCTCAGCGGAAGAGACCAGTCCAGAAACCCATCAAGGAATTCCTGACCAGAAGCAAAACTGCCACCCCGTCCTCATCGCTGACCTCTCCGGAATCCAGCCCTTCTAAGTCCCCCCGGAAGAGACCGGCCAACCAGTCAGGAACAGATTCCCCCTCTGCCAAAAAACTGAAAACCAAACCGAGCGCAGCTGTCAGGAGGGCTCAGACTAAAGTAGCCCAGGCCAAGGCAGCGAAGGCTAAGACCCTTGCTGTCAAGAAGCTACAGGTCGCTGCCAGCCCCTCCAAAAGTTCCTCTGGTAGCCCGGCTAAAGCAAGCACTTCAAAAACCAAGACAGCTGGGACAAAAAGGACTCAGGCAAGGGACGGAGCAAAGAAATCACTGCCAACGCCTCTCAAAAAGATGAATGCCATCAAGAAGAGTGCCAAGTCACCCAGTCCCACTAAGAAACCCTTGTTGAGTCCAGGCAAGAAGTCAATCCCTTCACCAACCAAGAAAGCAGCTTCAAAAGTCGTGGCTAAAAGTGCAACTCGGAATTCGAGTCGCAGTCCAGTGAAGAAACCAACACCAAAGAAAACTTCAGTTGCTAGGCTCAGCAATGGCTCAGTTTCATCTCCGCCAAAAAGGTGGGTGTTACTTAAAGTATTTTTAGACAGAAATTGGTGAATATTAATTCTTTTGGTTTAAGAATTCAGCTTTTGAGACTGTTAGTAGCCAGTGTATTAATTGAGATTTCACTTTATACCGCAGAAGGAATATAAATGATGCAAGTTTGTGCTGCTAATGGGATAACAGTGGATATTTTGGATGGCATAACTAAATGCTGAATTTCTTGTACTGGACAGAAGTACCTTGAGACGAGATAGTCTGCTCAACAAGCTAAACAATGCCAGTCGACCACAGAGACCTCCCTCCTCCCCTCAAGCCTCCCCAGTCCGATACTCGCCCCGTAAATCCGTCCTGGCAGGCCCGCTCACCACCTTCCAGAAACGACGCGCCCCGTCCAAGCCATCCCCTAAGAAATCGCCCTCCTCCACGTCGGCGAAAGAGACCATGGCCTCAGCGGAGGAGGAAGAAGATAAGAGGAAGAAGGTGAAGAGGAAACTTGAAGACGTGGAGGGCTCCGGTGACAAGTCCTCCTCCAGCAACGCAGCTCCGTCTCCAAAGAAACTCAAGCAAACCACTCTGGCGTTCAACTTGTAAGTCAAGGGAGCTCACTGAGAGCGTTGCCCAATATTCTGTGACAGATTTCGTTGGAGAGGGTTTTGGCCTTGTGGTTGAATGCTCATTACTGCAGTATTGGGCTCAAACCTTTCTCCAGTGTAGGCAAGCTTGGTAGTGCAGTGTCAGAGGTTTGAGTCTAGCCTGGGAAATCTTGTCAAGAGACCTCACAGGCCTTTGGAATGCATTGGCAGAACGCTGCTCATAATACTAGCTAAGCCAAATCTCCTGGGTAGTCGGTTGGGGAGTTAGTCCTGAAAAGCAGAATTCCATTGGAATTGTTATGGCTTGAACGTCTGCAGTTTCAAAAACCTGAACACATCTTCATTCTCCGAACTTAAGCCACAGTTTATGATGTGCAGATTCACCGAAACTTCCTTATCTTTTGCAAACTCAGAAGGAAAACGAGTCGCAAGGGTTCATCAGCGGACGTAAACGGCGTGGCAATCAGTGATGAGGATACCGAGTCATCCAGCAGCTCGGGTCGCCCAAGCAGGCATGATAGGGCACTGGTCCGTGCTATCGAAGCCGCTGGAGACAAAGGAACCCCCAAGCAAGCCCAAACATCGCTCAGTGTAAGTGGTAATGAAAACAGGTGGGTGGTCCCAGTTACCCACTGGACCGAGTCCCTCCCCTGAATGAGCCAGTTCGGTAATTTCTGCAGTGCGTGTACAAACAAATGTTGTCGTAGGCCATTTGAGAAGATTCAAAGATTGATCCTGTACTAGTGCAGCTATACTTCAACTCACATGCGCTGAACCTATCAGAGCTGGTGTTCTTTACTGACGTTGCCTCTCTGAAATACGGAATTGGCTCATTGGTTTCATGCTTTCTATGACTGATTTGTATGGGAGATCTTTTAGATTTCTCAATACTCATCCCACTCTTTCTTTTTTCTCCTATTCAAATTGAGATATGTTAATGATTTGAAAATCAGTAGAGGGTGCACCTTGTTTATAAGATTAAATCTAATTCCATGCCAAGTGCTTGTCATCTGTTTTTTTTTTTTACCATATTCCATTTGAAAGTTTGTTGCTTATTGCAAAATTGGTACTTCAGTTTGAAAATTTTTTCTTAGCTACCACACCCAAAAATAGAAAGTTTATCTCTGCACGAATGATAACTAAATTACGTTAGACGAAATTGTCGAAGTGAGCAAGAGTTTACCTGGGAGGCTGGAAAACAGTCTGTAGATACAGTGCCAGGGAAGGTACATTAACTTCGTTAACCCATTTTTGTGACGGTTTTTCAATTTATGACAGATCCGGCGAAGCAATCGACGACGGAAGCGTTAAGGAGTCAATCTATCATAATTCAACAACCCCCCAATTCTCCCTTAACTGTCAGTGCAAAAAGAGTAGTGGACTGGCTATCTGGAATAAGTAAGTATCTTTAGCTCGGTGTCAGTCATATCACACTTAGGCAGCTGATGTTTAACACTGGGCCCACAAATAGTTGACTGGCCAATACTGGCCAAACTGCTGTTAGTGTTTGTGAGAGGAATAAAGAGAGAGATCACTTCAAAGTTAATGGGAGACAAAACAAAATGAAGGGGGCCAGCCATATCAACAGTGTTTCCCTAAACGGTAAATACATTCCTGTTGCTTTGCAACCTAAAACATATTGTACATTTAGCATGAGCATGCAGAGTGAACTTGGGGTGAAACCATGTAGTAGTCCTTGTTAGAACACATTCAAGCGTGGACAGAAATAAAGTTTCATATACTTTCCGTTTTGATACCAAGAACGTGTATGGTTTTTTATACGTTAAAACCAGTTATCTTGTATCCGTAGGGCACGTTAAGGAAGGCGCAAAGTGATTGCACAAATGTAAAACTGGGGAACTTGGCTGACACGATGGTAACTTACTGGCCCCCTTTTACCTTTGGTTTTGTTTCATATGCTTGAAAGAGTTGTAGAAGTAAACCATGAGTTGCTGTTTTGTTGTCACAGGACAACTTCTTGAGATATGTGAAAACTGACCCATGTTCCCCAAAACCTTATCAAGTATGCTGAACAGTGCAAGATCTGTCCGTCAAAACCTTCCAACCTCTGTAAAATATTGTAGATGTGTTCATATATGCCTTGGAAAGTGTAAATACTCACTTTGAATATCAGGTCAGATCTAAACAGAAACATATCTAGTTTGAGTTTCGCTTTCGTTCTTTTTTTCATGCCAAACCAGCTTTAGCTGAGTGTTCTTAGAACCTTGTTGAAAAAAAAAGAAATTCAAGTCCATATCTGACAGAGACAAGCTCAGATTTAAAACAACCGGTTGAGAATTATGGAAACGCTAAGTCTGTTGAATGAATTTATCATACTCGAGCTGAATTCCGAACTGATTTCTTCACTGAAAACTGAGTGCCAACACGAGGACTTCTTGTAATTCCTGATTTTTTTTACATTGTTCTAACGGCTTGCTTGTGTGTAACAGCACTGACACAAAGACCCACAACAATATTGCCCGGGATATTGATTGAAAGAAGTCATTGAAGTCAACACAGGTCTAAACTTTGATAGTATAATTCTTTTCAGTCAAAGGAGACTGATTTTTAGGGGAAAATAGATGCCATCATTGAAATTGAATGAAGTCGGCAAAAATTTGGCAACATCTTAAAGAAACAGGTTGGAATGCAGTCAAATATTTTCTGTGCCGGTCAAGACCATTGAAACTCGGAACTAGTTTCACATTTTCGATGGAGAATAACTTACAGAAAGAGTTCATCTCATTACAATGAAACAGAATTGACGGGGGGTCATTAGAAAAGTCAAAACACGAAACTGATGTAACAAATACTGATTGTAGTGTAAATGTTCATGCGAATTCCTCAACACAGCGTGTCACAGAAACTTCAGTGTATTTTCAACTCCATGTACATTCCTCTTTTAGTGTTTAATTTGTTTTTGCAATTAAGTGTAAAGATTTATTGGGATAAGTTTTTAAAGGACTATTTTCAGCCAAATTTTTCTGCTTTTCTGTTGGCTTATTTAAGAGGAGTCTGGATCGTTTTGGTGTGCAGAATCTCATGGTTAAACCCAAATTTGAGACATAGAATGCCAAAACATGGGCACTATTTAATTGAGGTCATGCTGGCATTGTGTTCCACTTGTCCACCCTCATATTTACCTGGTATACATGGATATGTACAATATGCCTGAAGCTCTTTTTCGCAGAGAATGTGTGCTGAATTGAATGTGGCATCTTTAGATTATAAATTTAAGTGTGTTGGAAAAAGTCCAGCTCAAATGCTTTACAAACAGACTGTCTGTGAATAATTTTACCAGAAACCCCCCCCCAGTAAATTCAAAGTTTTTATGTGTAAAAATGGTAACCCTTTGAAACAGTAGATTATGAAAATTATGAAATTTGGAATTTTGTCTCCTCCAGTCCTTAGACTGATAAAAGAGGTCTGCAAGGACAAGTAACCAAAAAAAATGTGAGTGAAAAATATGTAGCATGTGTTGAGTAAGATTGGAACCAAGGTGAATAGTGTGTGCCACAGGCTTATCATTTGTAATATTAAACCAGTCTTAAAGGTCAGCGTTGTGATTTTACACTCAACAGGCTTTGTTCTGATGGGGTTATCAATCGCCTGTTATACAAATTGCTCCCAATCTCCGTAATGATCAGTCTCGTGTGACCAAATCCTGTGGGGAGTAGATTATGCGCCTGTTGTCTTTACAGAGAGATGATGCATGTTTACAGTATGAATTACACATTGGTGATATTGAGTTTCCTTTTGCCAACAACTCCCCCCCCCAAAGAAATCATTGGACAGGGAGGAAACATATCTCACGTGGGTGTTTTATCAGTGTTCACTTCATACATTTTATTTAATTTTGTTATAGAAATTTAAAGTGTCTAAACATTTTTTAAAATTTTTTTTAAAAGATACTACTTTGTAAATAGTGTAACAGTAGTTTTGGAGAATGAATTTGTAATTTTTGTTCACTCCACAAAACGTGTGTTCGAGCAGTTTGAAAACTTAGAATTTGTCCACATTTTTTGCCAAGTTTTTATGAAGTCTCTGCTCCGGGGCAGAGACCATTTTTTATTTCCGCTGACGTTGTGTATAGTTAAAGAAACTCGGCATCGTAAAACAGTTGTAACTTATTGACTTGCTGCCCATTGAATGAATTCTGTGCTTGATCACCTATTCTTTGTCGGTTAATGGGTTTCTTCAAGACGCAAATGTTAAGCTCTTTCGTACCCCCCAATAATTGACATCTGAGTGTTCCCCCGTTTGATATCCTCTTGTGGTTTCTGACCTAATGGGTTGGGTTTGGTGATTGGAAAGCTGTTGTTGAAGAGGAATTCACTGACGTTCCAGTGCATATTACCAAAGGCCCTCTTCAATGGTAGATAAGTACCGCGATAGGGCGTGTTGCTCTTCGCCATTAGCGGGGTCACTCTAATGACCAGTGATGGCGTTACCATGGTAACCCCTGGAGTTTGCCCTGGGATCGAATAACTCTTCAAATCCAGTCCCTGGATTGGCATAATTTTATTGGATTCACATTGGTACGGCCTAATCACTACGCCCTGCTGTTCCGATCGTTGAAACTGGATAGAATATGCATCGGTAACGACGCAGTACAGAATTTTAAGGGATCAGGATGCTTCCTCATAAATGAAACTTCTAAGGGGTTGCCATTTTCAATTGAAATGTTGAATAACTCTGTTTTCACAGTTGGGATCCTCATATAAATTAGATTTTCTTTAGTATGGAAAACATCCTAATGTAAATATACATCATGTCAAAGTTTACAAATAAATTTTCTTTCTCGTTACATGTTGACAAAATTGTCTGACGACGTGTTAAAAAGGTTACCTTTTTGAACGGGTTGATTTATATTATAATTATTGGAATCCTTGATTTGCTGTTCAAGTCAACCGAGGGCGCTATTAAATTTGACAGTGAACAAGAGAAAAGTTCGTTTACTACGTGAATCTTTTGAAAATAAATGAAGATGGAGAAACGTCAATATCATTTCAAGTACTGTAAAAGGTTTTTAATACTTATCAACATGTACACCAGAAACACGCATGATAAAATTGTCAGTTGCATGAATAAGGCATTTAACTGTTGTTTGCATCAACGGATTAGCTCATTTTTCTCTTGTAAATAACAATTCACCACGACAAACTGACAGTTTACAGACATTTACAAAGTCTGGGCTGCCCATTTTACCCGACCAAGCTGCCGCCCTTGATATCATTTTTACATGGCTACCATTTAGAACGTTGGCTTTTGTGGATGCGCCCACACAAGATAATCATATAAGCCATATTTACATGTCACAAGAGTTGTAATTTGAACATTACACACGTAGTCGTTGTTTGAAACTTTAATGCTGCAAACATACATGTAGATGAAATATTTGTGCAAATGTGCCATGTCCTCTATTCGCTTTAGACCATGCAGTATATATGTGTATTATGAAATTAAATTCGTAATATATTTGGTCATAATCATAGTAGTCGTATTAAAACATACTGGAGAAGTACAAATGTGTATAAACTGTTAACTGGCAACCTAAGAAAAACTACAGCGATTCTATCAAAAAGGGCTTGTCCATCCTCTCCCAAAATGGTTTGATCTCTTGAGGAGCAACGTATGAAATAAGTCAGAATGTTGAAATCTGGATTGAAGTCAGAAAATTTCCTGGAATTGGATTCGTAAAATGAACTCATCGGAATCTTTTTTGCTGTATTCTTCAAATTTACAAAGGCTCCCATCGCGTTGAGTTGCGCAATGCTTTGCACACGTTACCACTAACAAAGGTATTAGAGTATGCGAATATCTGCATACGTGGTAACTATTGAACGTGTACGATTATTCTGTAAACCTACCCACCGCATTCTTTTGCTGGAAAAATGTAATGTATGCATTGTTTTCAAATCACTGTGAAAAATTCGAGCCTTTGTGACCATCCCAGACACGACAATCCCAGTTCAACCCAACCCACCACACAAGTTTTCTTTAATACTGATGGAAATTCAATTGGAATCTGAGAATATTCTCAGATTATGTTTACAAAGACAAGAAATCTCACTGAGTGCAAGAAATTAAACACTTTATAAGTTTCTTATCTGTGATTTCGTCAAAATTCTAAAAAAGTCAATACTAACGCCTGTGCATTCAAGGTTTTATATTCCGTAGTCATTCTATGGAGCACCTGAAAAGATGCTTGACATTTTTCTCTCTAAGTGGAACTACTGAGCCTGAAAGTTGACCCCCGATGGCGCGCTTCCGGAACCCTTGAATAGGAAAAATAACGTTCAAAGATTTCAGAATTTGTAATATCTTTTCGTTTAGTTACTTCTTAATAAATCCAACTCGAAAAAGGGGCTTTGGAAAATATTTGATGGTATATCAATTTATAGAAACTGAAAAATCACCTGACCTAAAATATCTTGCCAAAAAATGACCCATCACTTCCGAAAATCTAAAATACATGAACAGTGCAATGAGGCAGTCTCGTTCGCAGATGAACATTTAACGGTTTGGAATTTTATGGTTGTCCGTCAGTAAAAGCCGAAATAAAAACAGATCAAAGTATTTTACACAGTGCTATAATTTATAAATAATAAACTTAAAGCAACTAATTCAATTACGAAAGATTCTAATCTTTTATCTAACCTTTGCTTACAACAACTGCGTGATGCCAACTCAGCGGAATCTGGAACCCATCGACCGCAAGTAGGTAAATCTTTGCAACGTTGTACAATCTCGTTTTCACGTGAGCACGGGCAGTGAAAACAAACGTGCATGGAGACCTAGGTACGATATCGCTGGGAGTGAACGGTCGTTAAGAAAATTCGCTTTTTACCTATCTCCATGTGACTTTTCCTATTATTACTTCAGGAAGACAAAAGTAAAATTCCAATATGAGTGTTTCATGGGTTGGTTTCCATTAGGAGTTATTCTTCCAAATATTATCGAACGTGATAGGACGGCCCAACGTAAAATCCCCACAGGAAGACCGCGCGAGGGTTCCGGAAGCGTGACCTTTTACTTTCAGGCTCTAATACAAAAGACAGTAGTTACGCAGAGAATTAAGGCACTGATTTTACAATGTTCAACTCGCTAATTACCATATGCGTTTCCCAAGGTGCAATAACAGGGAGCATGTTTTCTGTACTTTGGTGACACGAGTCATAAGCAGGTGTCATTCAATTTACATATGTCGTAACACGTGCACCAATACTTAATGTCTCTAAACACTAGAATATGTACAATGAAACTTCAGGAATGACCACAGCTAAACGTATGCTGAAAAGAGTAAACCGCTCGTGAAATTTGTTTGTTTTTTATTTATGTGTTTCTCTCTTCATAGACAATCTTACAGGTTGGACGGTTCAGAGCACTGGTTACGTATAAGTTTCAATCAAATAAAACTAGCCGTTAAATAAAACTAAGCTAGGAACAAGGCGAACAACTTAGATTTCTCGAGTGACTTCTTTCACCGCGTGTTGAATGGATCTAAATCGCCTTGTATAAAGCCTGCATTCAGACAGAATAAATGTGTACTCATGGACTCATGAGAGACGCTCGGCTTTTTATTAAGTCGACTCGTTATATTCAGCCTCCTTTGACACTGTCAAAAATCATAGAAGAATAGCTGAGCCAATTATTGGTAAAGGGACCTAATGATTCTCGTCTGATTTCGCCGTGGCATTGTCTCCTGATGTTGACGGTCCCTCTGATTCCCGCCTAATTAACTCTTGGTAGGTGTGGTCGTATGTTGTGTTAATTACCCCGTTGTCTGTCTTCGGTTCCTCTTGCACGGTAATGACATCCCTGTCAGTCTGCAATGACGGAACGATTGCTGTGTAAGGCCGTGTCCGAGTCTACGGCAGTAGCCGCAGCCGTTAGTGTAGATTTGTGTGTAAATGTCAAGCCGCAGCCAAATGATTCGGAAGTGGCCTCTTATGTGTGTTTTGAAGAGGGCGCTGCAGTGCAGCATTTTTAGTCTGGTTCGTAGATCTAGCGAATCACACGAATCACTTAGGTCGGGTACCAGTAGGTAGTACATGTATTCTAAGCCCAATTCACAATCCAACGAAAAGAATTTCTTTTTTTCCAAATTTGTCAAAATTTTCTCGATTCATTATAGGGTGCGTTCGATTAGCTTACACGTTTAAGTCAAACTTACAAGAGAGCGTTTGCGTTCGTTTAGCCATCACGTTATCTTTGTGCCTGCCGTGGTGTCAGCCACCACTACCCCAGCTGGCGAGTGGGTTTGTGGAGGCTGCTCAAGTGTAATGACGTCACGGATGGACTGTTCGTGCATGGACATGATGCAAGTGGCGGAGACTTTACATTTTCCCAGAATGCCTTGGCAAATACTCTGCTGCGTTCGATTAGCCTCATTTCGATGTTTCCCTTGCGTGTAACACTGGTGTATTCAGGGAAGCTGACCGAACACACCCATAGTAAAAATGCGTCTGTGGAAAAGCGCGTTATGGTTATACTTACAAGCTTCCTTCGTTTTTTCACCCGGCTGCACCTCACCATAAAAATGATCACTGCTCCTACAAACATGCCTGCGCCAACCGAAAAAACCGCTGCCTTGACACAGTCCGCTATAAGCAGAAGATTTTGAACATCCGACTTGAAGAAATCTGCGGTAGCCTCATCTAAAGCTGAACTCTAAAGGGAAAACACCAAAAATCAGAATTCAAATCAAATAATTTTCCGTGTTACAGCCTCGTACCTCTTTTTATTCTCTTGAAAAAAATACGCAACTTTGCTTTGTAGTTTGAAAGGTTCTTTTCAATTTAAGGAAAAAACCATATATGAGACATTTTAATAGTTTTGTCCCACTTTATGTGTGGTGTAAGCATGCAGTTTACCAGTGCTGTATGTAGGCCTATGCATGTACATGTATCCGCATGCTTCCATTTATTACTTCCAGACCTTGAAAAACCTTTTAAGTAGTCTTACTGCACCACGGGATTTGATGACAAACAAGCGACGTATTTATGCGCAAACCTTCGGTGGAAGTGAGCCAGTAGGAAACTAATCATTACAGTTTCTATCTTAGCCTACTAAAATTTTTTAATCGAAGTCTTTTCGCATATTGTTGCCATAGGGTAATTTTGAATAAGGTGATCGGAAAAAAGGTAAAGCTTATCATCAAAGGAAGTCTTAGGAACTCTTTTTATGAATACCAGTTTTGTCCTGGGTTGTGGCAATGAATGTCAATATTTGCCATTCAGAATCAGGATTTTGAAGATCATCCTACTTTGATCAGTAACATTTATTTGTTCAGCCTGATGGTGACTAGTAGGCCTATCTTTTAAAAAAAGTACATTGTATTTGCTGGCAATTTCTGTCCTCATTTGTAGCTTCAAAGTTGTTTTTAATTCAAATGTCTTATAGACTATGCATCTATTTGTGAGTTGACATGACACAAAGGTATTTGTTTTCCACACAAAGGAATTCTGAGCAAGAAACATTAATATTTGACGGGTTCCCATAGGCTTATGCAAGACATCGATGCTTTGGCACCCAATCCCATGCCGTTTTGGATGCCCAAAATGCTTTTATTCAAAAGCCCCCAAAAGAAGAAAAATTTGTTCAAGTGCGCACTCCAATTTCACGATGTTTCATGCATAATGAACCAACTCATAATGTCGCCTCTGGCTTGTCAAAAACTTGGAGATCGGCCAGAATACCACTATTCCACTTTCCAAACACGCGCTAAAATGACGTCATTTCAATAGGCACCATGTCGCCAATCACTTCTTTTGTATTACACACAATACGAAATATGCAGACAGATGGCTCCTAGCGCCATGTTCAAAAACGCTGTCATTGCTCGTCTTGGCTGAACGGTGTTCAAGAAGTACATGTACTACCTAGTGAAGTATTTACGGAGCATTTTATAACCAACTGGCCTCAAAAACTTTATTAGCCTCCACAGTGTAGTAACTGATTCAGCATGGAAGCTGAAAAGAAATCCAGACAACCCTTACAGGTAGAAGGTCGTGAGGAAAATGCCAACAAAGTTGAACAAGCAAAACGTACGCACAGTATGCAGGTATGGTGAGTTTCAAGGATTGGTAACTTAGTAGTAGCAGCTGGCTTTTATCTCAACTAAATGAAGGCGAAACTATGGATAGATACAGACGTGGCAATTTGTACTGGTCAGCATGTGGATGCCTACAGAAATTCGCTTGGGCTTCAAACACGATCATGCAAATGGAAATTTGGATTGGATAGAACGGAAGTGCGTTTCAGCAACTGCCAATGATGGCTCCTCTAGCAGACAAGGTGTACTGGTACTACGGTGTTCATGGTGAGTACATTTTTCTATGAAATCTGGGAATCTTTCGTAGTTACGACTGTAGATAGGTTTTGCGCATTCTTGGCTCGTTTATTGGTGTATGAGTCGGTAACTGATTGGAAATTCAAACCATATCATAATAGAAGAGATATTGGGCCACTTTAGCAGGAATTTTAATTTTTAACTGGTGACTTTGCTCGATCTCCCATCCATTTGAAAACAATAATGCATAGACACCGCACACTACAAGTATCCCCAGGGCTGTGATTAAAAATGAGAAGGGGGGAGGCAGCGATTGAAGTTTCCTATACCACCACGCGCCCCAGAACCCGTGCAAAGATTTTAGGTTGTTGGGGGCCTTTTCATATACATCATGTAAGTTCACCCCTCCACTTCGTTTGTGCGCATGAGCTAAAATTGTGCAAAGTCGTGGTCACTCTCTGTTGCTTAATGAAATACGACACCAGCTGGTAAATGACAAAATCCATCTTCGGAGATTTTCCGCATTGTGTAAAAGTTTGCTGAATTTATACCAGAGAAATATAACCAGGCCTCAGATTTCATTTTGTGATGTGTTTCATATTCGTCATAACTGACATTTCGGAGAAAATGGGGTGAAAGATGTCCGCGTAAAGTTTCATTTCCGAACGTTTAATTAAAAGGGTAGGCCTATTTTAAAATTGAGATTTTGAATTGTTCTCCAATTTTTCCACACATGCTGCGTGTCTTGGTAACTAAAAGAGTGTTCGAAAAGGGTTACCTTGTTATTTTTAAGCTATTGCAAATTGTCCTTGTTCGTTTGATCATTTTTCAATTTTGGCTCTCTGTCGATTGATGATATGGTTGGCCATGATTACGTATGCAACTTCTTTGAACATGTGCAGTACATATTCATGTACATGTACTCCATCAGTGCAACACTCGCATACATGCACTACTACGGATAAATCATTCTTGTGCAAAATATTCAATTCGCAATAATTTGAAAATACTACCGATGTTTTTATCACATTTTAATACACAGAATAAACTGGAGAAATGGTTTTAAAATGGGAATGATCGTGGACGTATTTTCTTTCGAATCTGGTTTTATTTAGGTTGTATTTATTAAAAAAAATAATTTAAAAAATGTAGGTTTTTCAGAATTTGTTTCAAAGTATGTGCAACTGGGTTTATACGCTGGTCTAAAGTTGCCTAATCAAGTTTTAATTATCAGGTTATCTTCCTGAACTTTCTTTGTATTTTGTTAAAATAAATTACGGTCTCCATCCGCGGACAGAAGGCTGTCGGAACGGTGTCCGATGTCTTCTGCCTCCAATACGTGGCAAAGTTATCGACTGCGCATGCGCGAACTCTCAAGTAAAGGGTGCACAAGGGCATGGTAGTGAACACACTGACTTGACAGGTACATATTTTGATCCATTCCGAATTCTGTTGCCGCATTTAATTGCTGTAAAGCTTCAATTAACTAACCCTGCAGTTTGTCCATAAATTATGGGGACAAGGCAGGCTGAAAACACGCACGTATATGGAGAGACACCTTATTTTTGAGGTTTGTAGTAGGGCCTACATGCATTTATTGATTTCCTTATGAAAACTGACCGTAAGTACTGTACGCTCAGTGACGGTGTGACAATTCCGAAAGGACGTCGTTGCTAGTTAACAAAACGCCCTCTCTCGTGCGTTGTGTTCACTGTCCTCCACGATCTTCTGGCAGAAGCCGTAATTATGTATTTTGTAAAGTAGAAGGGAGTCTTTATTTATAGCAAAACATAAAATATTGTCAAAATGTTTATATTTGGTTTCATTGTGGTGTCATTTGCATTCATCTCTCCTGAGCTGGCTGCCTGTTTATCAACTTCTGGGGTCAGGTGTCGTACTTTTGAAAAGCTAGAAGGGACTATATTTCCAATTCTCCAGTCAAATTTGCATTTCTCGTTTCTTTTAATTCAGAAAAGAGGTGCCCTTGTTTGTTTAAGCATTGGACTTTCTTCATCTTGCAGCTTGTAGCCTTTAATGGAAAGTTATCACAAGAGTCAGGCGAGCTTACAGATAATCTTTGCCTGTTACCCTCTCTACGAGTACTCTATCTGATTGAGGTGAATGCAAAAATAGAGGCTGAATGACAGACTTACGGAAAACAAACTACAGTTATCATGTACTTTAATTGCCAAGCGACGGAACCCTGTGGAGGCATAAATGCAAGCATCTATTCAAAGGGATGGATGCTGATGTAGTGAGTGATTAGTTTTGAACGGCTCTGTCAGTCACCCGTAACAACAAAACTCACATAAATTTGAATAGCAGATAACGTCTGTAAAAAAGAGAAAAACAATTTTAACATATCGGATTAGACGCAGTGCTTACCTCGTTCAGCCAGAAGTAAGGAAAATACACGGAATGGACATTTCTTGCCTCTCTGTAGAATAAAATATATCGCGTAAAATGTTCATTGTGCATTTCACGTATCAGTAGTTTCGAGTGGTACGTCACCCGTCAGTTTCGATTGCATTTCTCCCGGTTTTGAATCGTGGGCACGCTCCAGGTCAGGAAATGATAGTATAAAAAAGTTTTGACCTCTTATAATCTTTCATAAAATGCCACTTTTCCTATGAATACTTTTAAAATGGTCCAAAGGAAGTACACCGGTCTCCTTCGTTAACATAATGCTGATTACATGTACATTCCAGTCTGTGTTGGCGATGCGACAATTCTTGCATCCCTGACTGTAGCATGACTGATGCAAATCAGCATCGCTCCTGTAAATTGTATTTGAAGCCGGAGTACAATTAATCCTCTTTCCCCGGGCAATTTCCAAAACCTTGTCGTAAACTGAGGTTTGTTAGCCTAAAGGAGAGTTTTCAGAACATTAAAGTCTTAGGCATTTAAACCGGACGCCCGAAGCTCTACCGGTTTATCCATGGCAGTTAAAAAAATGCAAAATTCAGAAAAGAAAACTTACGTTTTGAATCTGTATGAGCTTACCCTGCAGAGTTAATTTAAAAAAAGTCGAAGTTTATTTTAAAAACTAACCTGATTTGGCGCAGCGGATTGACTCGGATATTGATTTGTAAACGGTTAGAAACTTGCATTGCAACACCAGTGAGCTTGAGAGAAATGTAAAAAAAAATAAGTCAAACAAAATAATACTTCAAACATACAGAAGAAAGAACCTTCCGATTAAAAAAAAATTATATTGTATTGTAATGCCGATTTGATAATTCGTGTAATACCCAGACAACCTAATTACATTCTGGAAAGAATTGCACAGACGCATTCGTTTACACTTATTTTTACACGTACAGGTAGAGAAGCATTTTGTGCTCTTTACTTCGCGTATGTTTTTCAAAGATTAAGTTTCCCACTAGTAGCTGCTGCTTAGTGCTCACTTTGATCAGTTATAGTCTTTACTGACACAGAAAATGTCATACATCGAATCTAAACATGCTTGTGACAGGTCCAGGGGTGTATGAGACGGATTTCATTTGTTGTGTGCCATTTTTAAGCCTACCGTTTCGATGTCGAAGTCCACCATGTGTTGCTGTTGTATTGGATTCATTCCTATTACGCTGTCTAATAGATTGCTGCTTCCGTACAGGAAATGTGGAGAGGAATAGAATATAGGTGCAGCTGTAGGGAGGAGGAACAGTCAAATTTGGTGTTACCAGGGAAACGGGAAGCATAAAATGTCCGTCTTCATGAAATGCATGAAACCTTTGTACGGCTTTAGTAGATGACTGAATTCGACTCACTTTTACACTCCGTTGCGTTAAGCAGTCCGTTTGGAGTGCACCCGCTCTCGTCAGGTGTGCAAAAACCTATGTTGTCTGGATATTCCTCCGCGCTTGCGTACTGGAATGCCGGGGCAGAATACTTTGCTGTTGGTATGCCTCGCAGTTCATTGGGGCCCATATACTCTATGACACCAGACCTTTATTTTGCAGAATGGTCAAGTATGGGAACATGTGGTAAATTGTCTTGTGTTTGTCTTATATCTGAATATTTTTGTCGCTAAATGTGTTGCATAACACGACGTACAGTTTACAGTTGTAATTGAGTAGATAACATTAACCAGATATTCACCTGCATATGTCTGGCACATAGACGTATAATGCATCAGTTGTGTCAAGGTATGGACGAAAGGCTTGTCCGTCTATAAAAGTGTAACATCAGAGTTGAGTGTTAAATGACAAATTAATATTAACGATATCTATTGCCAGAGTGAAATGATTTTCATAAGAATAAGAATTATTCCTCCCAAAATTCACAGATTTTTAGTTCAGTTGAACCAATACAGTTTCGAAGTATCAATTCATTTTGCTGGGCTTAAAATAGCCAACGGATCTCAGCTAGATTATGCCCAAATAATTGAATTCAAATCGTAAATGTAGAAAAATGGAAAGCGGGGGAAGTGGTGGAGTAATCGAGGAAAAGGTTGCCTGGTGGTGTTTTAAGTAAATACCAATCCCGCTTGTACATGTATTCTGATTTCCATAGTAAATGAAGATATATGAGCACTTTTGATTCCATTATAGGTGTTCCGGTTCCCTGTCGAGTTTCCGTAATTAATCACCAGTTCCGTTGAGCATGTTGGCATATTCGTTGCTCCAGTATTCAAGCGACGTTAGGTTCTTCCAAGTCTTGATCTGGTTGACCAAGGAGAGGTCCGTTTGTCCTGTGTATACAACCCATTCCTCCTGGACTGTGTCGTTTGACTGCGTGACAGAAACAGGGTATAAAGTTTAACTCTCCTCAATCCTCGAAATCCTCTGGGCGGTTTCGTAAGGTTGAGAAAGAATGGCAAAAAAGTGTGGCTGATTGCGAAGGATGTATTGGGTCAAGGTTGTAGGTTAGACCTTGTGCTGTTTATGCTGAGCCATGCATTAATTCGTGCCCACATTGTAGGTGAAGTCCTCCAGGATACCATTCACACTGCCTCAACACAATGACAGGAATTGCTGGAGGATTTTGAAGGATTGAGGAGGGTGCCTGACAGAAAAGCCTAGGGGGTTAAGCTTAATTTATGAATTTTAGTTTTGAACTCTTACACTAGATATGACTCAGCACCTTTACAGGGTGACCTCCTCCCAGGCCCCCAAAAAGCAAGCCAAAAGCAACATTTATTGTTTCCCACAATAATTGTCAGAAATTGTTCTTTTGGTATCAAAATAAAGCTGAAGATGTTGTTTTTCCAAACTGAAGACTTATTTAGATCGAATGAGTTGCGGAGATGTATTCAATTACGTAACCACTCATATTTTGTTCTGTCCAGCATCAAATTTGAAGGAAGTCTTTAAGTGTTGAAAAGATAACACCCTAAGCTTCAATTTGATACCAAAGTTTGGGAAAAAACAAATGTTAGATTTGAGTTACGTTGTGTGTTTTACGGGGGGGGCTAACTCTGTATTGAGAATTGTAGTGTGTGCAGAGGGCATTCCAAGGAAAGTCGCGAGCGTGGCACTGTTTCTTGGATTCTAAGGGTTGGCAGGATATTTTTAAGTAAATAATGAATATTTACCAGTGCAATGGCTGGAATATTTTCATGAAGTGACAGAATGAATGTTCTTTTCTATGAAACTATACTCACCCCATAGAATATCCCGTATTTTTCCGGTAATTCAATCGGTAACAAACCGCTCAGAAACTTGAAATACGGTTGCTCGAAACCAAACAAAAATCCCTTTACCTAATTAGATAGAACAGAAACGAAGTTAACCCTTTCTTTAAGTCAACACAGCCAAACAGTATTTTATTTGCCGTGAACTTGTCTGTCCCTCCCTCATGTTGTATGGCAAACTGTCGCGTAAAAAATGAAGCCGCTCAACAAGGTGTTTGTCAGTCTGATGTCTTCATGCCGCTTTGTTTTTGATGACTAGATTATTCAGGGTTACCCATAATTGCCCGAACAGTGTGCCTTGTCTGTTCGTTGGTCACAAAGACATTCATTACCGATATCTAATTGAATACCATACTCTATCCGGTTTGTAAGTGTGACGTCACTTCACTTTAAACCACGCCTCCTGCACATGCACTGCACATAGAATTAAATACATTGATCGCCGTGTAACCATGGAACCGGAAGTTAATGCGCAACATCAGTCCAGTGGGAGCCTGCAAATCGTGGCGCGTCCGCCTTTGTAACGAAGTCACTTACGAACCAGATATAGGTATAACAGCAGCCTTGGTGATGCTACTGCGTATGATTATGGTGTTTAAAAATAACCACCTGCAATTATTTTTAAATACTTTAATCATGCATTCAGACCAAGAGATTATTACCAATTTGTTGTCATTTAATTGGTAACGAGTTATATATGACAATAGCCCACTGTAAGTTGTTGCGTGCTCTAATCTGACATCACCCGCTAAGAAGCTTGCAGTTGGCGCTCAAATTCATGGGCAACGTTACTCAAACTACAAATTTTTCATACTTCCGGAGAAATGTTTTTCAGAAGTGGGTATGTAAAACAAAACGATTGAATAAACTAAAGCGGGTACTTATCCACTCACGGGTAAAATATCGCACTGCAAAACTGTAATGGAGTGTTAAATTAGTATTCATTCAACGCCATCGTAATCCATACAGCACAAGATCGACACAGAAGGTGTTAAATTGATACCAACGTTATCCATGCCGTGCAACACTTTACTTGTGCCGCCAAATCGGATACCATGTTCCTAAGATGCAACTAACATTCCTTGGACCGGTGTCTTGGCAACCCTTGTTCTTATTCCTCTATGGACAGTTCAACACTAAACTTCAGATCTCACGACAGTCTACTGTCTTGTGACTTTTTGTACTTACCGACACGTCAATTATGAAATCTGCCTGGGATCCTCCGTGAATCAGTTTGTGCAAATATTTGCCCATGTCATCGTATGTCATCAAATGGCCAAATGTCTGGAGAGATAAATGCACTAGTCACCTTTGATGAAAACAAAATTGTTATGCTAAAAGGCTTGACACGCCGCTTGGGCCGATTTCGATCGCTTTGATTTAAATCACCGATTTAAATCAATGACGTCAAAATTTGCAATGTTTTAAATAGAGCCTAAAATGTGCTTTTTTCCCAGTAGTACATTTTCTCATAAGTAAACATGCACTTCAAGTGATTTAAAAATTTAAAAAATCAATGATGTCAAAATTTGCAATGTTTTAATTAGAGCCTAAAATGTGCTTTTTTTCCCGGTAGTACATTTTTCCTCATAAGTAAGCATGTACTGGCAACCTGCACAGTTTATTAACGACGGATTGAGTCTAGGTTTAATATGCACTCTCCGTGCAGAGAGTACATATATAGGAAATGAGAACTGCGAAACAGTGATATCTCCTTGGAGACTGGCTAGCAGTTTAAAGAAGCATGTCGTTGGTCGTGATCCTAGCAGTTTTTCCTTAGCCAGTACAAATTGTTCTGATAAGATTACGTCGAAAAAAGCAGAAACCAAAACAGCAGTCGTGTTTAATATATTTTGTAAAAAAGACTTGCAACCAGCGGCACAAGATATGACAAAAAGAAAACAATATAATTGACAGGTGAAGATGACACTGCAGTAATAACGTTACCAGTCGGGGCGTAGAACTGCTTGAATGGTTAAAAAGTAATGCACGTGCATGGTCACAAGCAATCTTTTCCTTCAACATATGACATTTACTGATAAGATTTTTGGAAGAATATTTCTACATGATGGGTATCGGACAAGGATAATTTATTGCATTTAAGCGACTTTGCTTTTATGGGTAGAATATTGGACGCCGCCCTTTTGTAAAGAGCTAAGTTTTGACAGGATGAAAAACTGTACTATAGCTTTTTACTTGCTGTCATGATTGTGACTGATCACGCAACTGTAGGATAATGAATTAATGCGCTTGACCTATTTTTGCCGCACACAGTGAAATGCGTTAATCTAATTTGTGTCAGGTATCTTAAAGACGCAGAAATCCGCATCCCTTTTTTTACACCATCAGGTGGCTTGGTCAGCCTTCACAGTGTGGCCACTTGCCCCGCTCAGTGACGTGTTCTCTTCGTACGAGCATCGCTCATCAATGAGCTTGAAGTAGGGCCTACCCTTGCTGCTTCACTATTATTTAGCTGATTTGTGGAACTTCATGCATTTTTTCCCACCGAATGAATTCATTTTTGTTTCATGTTGTGTTTCAATTAGAATTTGATTTCCATAGGAGATTATTCTGCCCTTGTTTTTGTTTCCCTTTCACCGTGCAGGATGTCCCAAATGTTAGCCGCAGTCATTTCAGATCATATCCAGTTCAGTCTGACACCTCATGTTTATCATACTTTAAGCCGTTTCATTTCCGCCGATCCTCCAGCGGCTCCGATCATGTCCGTCTCGTCGGTCATTCCTAACAAATAATACTTGGCAATACGGCAACGATTGCGGCCTATGTAATCCATCAAATTCTGAGCTTTATATGCTTTGCCAAACAAGGCAGCACCGGAGATGAGTGGTGCCCTTTTGCCGGTGTTAGATGAAACTGAGCAACCAGAAGCACGTGCATCACAGGGACCGTAACACGACCTATGCCCTTTAAGACCTGTGTCTTGTGATGGAAATGATTGTCGAACAGAATGGATGACGAAAAGTAAACAGATGTGTCACAGCGGATAGACTTTAAGCTGAACATTTTTAACGTAATTCAAAAGTATATGGATTGAAAACTTCTCTAATAGCTTTATCACTTATAAAAGTATAGTGTTTTGAGGATCGAGAACAAACAGAAACGTAACATATTTGATAAAAGAATGACAACTCACGATGGTCAAAAGATCCACAGTGGAAAACGTGTCATTGTCCCATCCCACTGACTGCTCTCGATCAAAAATGTAGGCCTTGTAAACATAAAACCTCACAGTTCCATCTTCGTCATTGAAGGAGATGTTAGTTTTCCTTCTGATCTCCCTGAGAAAAACCAAGATAAGTCATCACAGAAAATATAGGCTTTCCCGGCCGAATTCGTCTCCTTCAGAGTCAAATTCTTTATTGTTCATTCGTATTCCAACCATTTTCCCCCAGATGGTTGCTCCCATATTTCCTTTGCATATTACGACAGAGCCTTCAAATTCGTTTACAGTTGTCGAATAGTGTACCGTAACAAATACAATTTATAACTAATTTCATTCAATTGAACAGTGCATAACTGTCATTCGATTTCGCACTGGGTGACTGGAACAAAAAATTCCTCCCGATTTTTAATTTTGTTTTCGTCTATGGGCAATCATGTTCGCCTTTTGAGCCTTCAAATTGAAAAAAAAAAACTTCAAGATAAGAGGAATATAGGGCAAGTTAAGATGCGTGTAGAACAGAAAGGGAGATTACAAATAGAAAACACGCTAGCAGTGGTGACTTGAGTGTATGTATATATATATTTTTTAACTGAAAATACACATCAAGAATACAGTACATTAATTTTGCTCTCTGGCTAATACTGATTGCCTATTTAATCAAAATGTAGAAATTTAACTCTCTCTTAACCTTCATCACGGATGCTGAAAGAAAAATCCTTTAGATGCACTTTTTACTGATTTGTAATTTATTTATATTATACACAATAAACACGCTCTTTCTCCGTAAATATGCATGTATACTAAGATTTTGGATTCTCTTAAACAATGGCTTAGTTTCTTTCTTTGTTACATTGTTAAAGTAGTTTTTTGTTTTCATGATTCATTCTATTTTTCACATCATTTGTACATTGGTGTGATAATTTTACTTCGCTGTTGTTCATTCTTTACACAACAATTCAACCAGAATCAAAATGCGAATTAGCAAATTAGCAAATAGACATTGATCAATCGTTATTTTTATAGAGATCTCTAAATGTGAACCAACGGTTCCTTTCATGAAATATTTTGCATAAATTAGTCATGAAGAAAAAAGGATTCAACGTTTAATGAATAACATTGCACGAATCTCACAAATGCTTGCCGATTCACGAAATTGAACGCCACAACACATAACCGCAGGAGTGTCCGCTCAAATTTGAATGCTTTTGAGGTTTTTCCAACTTGAATGCTGACCCTTCACATTTTGAATAACGAGATTGTGCAACCGCCTGCTCTTAGAATGAAATTGATTCATCAGTTTTGCTCTTTGAATGGTGATCAAGATCGCCAATCTATTTTGTGTTAATTTGAATGAAACTGTCGCTAATTCGTGAGCGAAGATGATTAATTGGCCGGGAAAACCTATAACATATTTAAACACAGTAGGATATTGATTTAGATGTATTATTTATAGCCCGTTTGCCTATGTTAGTGATTTACTTTACATTGAATATCGTGCACTTCAACCCTAAAATATAGCTACCGTAGGTATTTACAAGCAGGACACTCGCTTTTCTGTTTACTACCTGACTCGAGCTTGTTCAGATAAATTTAATATTGTGACAAAGTCCACTTTGAGTTATCAAATACACAACTCATATAATCATGTTCACTGGACAAGGCATGTATTACAATATTGGGCATAGACCTTGGTCTGAAATACACACTATAAACTTTTTCCACTTAAAAATAACGCACAGTATTATCGAATCATTGGCATGTATTGCAGGAATATCTGGTAGAAGACATCTTTAATTCGTAACTGTGTGACGGTATAGCCTATAAATTAGGAAGCAAAGGTAATTAATGCATTTCGGTGTTTAGGCATATGCTTTGTAGCTCGTTGTGGTCGTTTAACTGTCAAAATTGACAATGGACATGTGCTTTGTAGCTCGTTGTGGTCGTTTAACTGTCAAAAATTGACAATGGACATGAGTAAAACAATCGTATTGTGTTGAGAATGGGAAGATTCAGGACTAGATTTTAATAGCTGAATAGTTCGATAGCTGGATCGCCTAAGATGAGAGAGTGATGAGTGAAATTGAACGAATGCATGTGGTCTGTATACCCAAACTACCGGTGAGATCAAAGAGATTAGTTTCTTGCAGTGGATTTTTAACAAAGTGTCACCCACCTTGAAGGCACCCGGTGGTCTCACCACTCAGTGTGTTACCGGTGTGCTCCAAGTTGCAAATAACCATTCCCGCAAGAAGGCTTTTTTAATAATTTTTAAAACAACATATTAATAGAAACTGAAAAAAATGCCTGACTTGGAAGAAATATCTTGCTGGATATTGACCTCCTTACTTCCGAAAATCCATAATACATGATGACCAGTACAAGTCGGTGTTATTGCACATGCAAAGTTATATTCAAAATTATTTTCTGATATATCTGTAAGTATAAACTTGCACAGAAAGAGGGCAAACTAAGCTTAGCATGTTACAGTTTTCAACAAAATGAACTTAAAGAAATAATTGCCTTTTAATTACGAAAGATTCTGAAGTCCAAAGCTGACAAGAACTACATCAGGCCAGCCAAACTGTATCTAGAACCCATCTACTGAATCTTCCCAGCGTTCCCATTCATTCTTGTTCTCCTGTAAGTATGAAATACAAATCTGCTGCAAACTGCTTGCTGGCTACAGTGAACTGCAAAGGGTTCCAGGGACTCGCCGTATGACCTCTTACTTTCAGGCTCCATTGTGAAAGTGGAATTTTTGTACTTATATGCGCCTTTGACCAGAAGTGCCTTTTGTGACAAATGAAAAATAGCGCCCTCTACAATTTATTGATGAAAGGATTTCCCGAGAATGGAAAATCTATTAAACAGGTTGAGCTGAATTTCCATTGAATGTTTCCTTCAAGAAGCGAGACTTTAAACATCTCTCTCTTTGACAGAGCTAGGCATAACACTGCTTCTCTTGAATCAAATCAGTTTTCTTAAGATTGATTCCGTTTGTACCTGATTATCATACGTGACCACGTCGTCTTATCGATATCAGTTGAAGGACGATGAAATCAAATACAGTATTTACTCATGGAAAACGTGCACTGAGTAATTCAGAACGATGTCCTGCTTGTGGTAGTTTAGGACACCCCGTGTGAGATCTTCATCGCCACATACCTGTAAGTATAAGGGCCAACTTCTTCAAAGGCAGGCTTACTTCCGTTCAAAAATTCTTCTCTGTTAGTGAGATTCCAGACGTAGTATTGCATGTAGACCGGAGTTGGCGCCTCCACCCAGGTTTCAAACGATGTCGACCCTTCTACCAAAGTCGTGTCCTATAAAGGAATAACATTGGCTACTGATGCAGTCATCGTCCATACTGAAAATTCAAAGGATTGTTCTGCGACGTTCCCTGCCTTTACTTTCCTTTTATAGTTGCAATTCCATTGCAGTTCTGAAAAAAATAATTTGGGATACAATTTTCTGCAGCGTGATTTTTGACGACTGTTACCTCACACAATGCTTGAATATAATGTTCTAGGTTTTGTTTTTTCAATAATCCTCCACTCAGCGAAGACCACCTTCAGGTGTCGGCCTTGCAGTCACGAATGTGATCGAAACCCGACAAAAACTGAGTGAAATAAATCCTTTTTTACGCATCAGCAAAGTTAAAAGACAATTAAAATAAATACTCTCAATGATGGACATAGTTATTTCTCACACAATTCGTTTCCTCAGAAAATCTTTGTTGGCATTGCGAGTGAAAGAATTGAGATGTTTCAGCAGGGCCCGTCTTCGAAAATTTGCCATTATTTATTTCGCTAGGACAGTGGGTTCAATGCGATTAAAGTTTACTCAGATTCAACCTCCTTCCCCCGTTTTGCGTATCCCACAGCACGCACGCCAGCCAGGTTAGGGTGGTGCCCCTTGGAAGTTAATCGAACACACTGACTGTGTGACTGAGCGCGAAACAAAATGCATGGTAGTGATACTGAGAAAATGTCCACGGAGGAGGTGTTTCGGCCCAGCTGCCTTGGGGCCTTTTGTGATATCTTGTGATTAAGGACATCGATCCTCCCCGACTTGAGCAGAAAATGAAACAGCATTTTCGTTATATGCTTGAATTTGTACCCACATTGAGACTGTGCGCCTGACAGTATCGATAGTACTCAATGGATAGTGAACGTAAACTGTGTAAATAGCAACATCGTACCACTGCAGATAACTTCATGTAATCAGTATAGTTTGCGTAAAACTTACAGTAGGTCGAGGGTCACCAAGATATGATTATATAGATACAAGATGCAATGACTTGTGAGTAAAAGTTCATTCACACAACACAACGCAACGCTACGCAACGCAACACAACATGTCAATTCACGTCTATCCTACTATGAAATAATGCCGGACAGTATAAACGCCGAAATATAACAGCCGAAATGTTCGAAAATAACTGAAGAACCGTCAATTTTGCAGTTTTAGAATCCATTTGCATTTTTTACACTTTTACTCAACTATATTTGGGCAATTAATGTATTCTATATTATAATGGAACTATGTTTGATGAGGAACCAGTCAGTTGTGCATCTCTGTGTAATGAAAAAGATGCATTCTCACCAATAAGAGATATTTTGAGAATTCTTTATTTTAAAAAGGGGGTTAAGACAGGTTATTTTTCATTGTTCTGGTGAAGCACTATTTTAGATTTGGAAATCTTTAAAAAATCATTCTGATCATTATTGTTATATCTCTATTTATCACATTCACTGACAATTTCATTGGGTCATTTATTTGTTCTAAACTTTGAACTTCTTTGTGGCATATGTCTCAGAGAGGAAAACATCCTAATATAAGATTCTTTTCTAAATGCACAATACGTTAATGTGCATATTAAAATAATGGCACAAAACCAGTTGTCACAGTCATATCGTTAAATTTCTCACCTTTTGTTAAAAGTAAAGAAAAACACTGAGTATGTGCTCGTGCTGTGGAGTAATCCAACTCGCCAAAATGATTCCCGCCTGGGCTTGAATGTTATACATCCTTCTCGGTTTAAATCATTCGATAGCAACTGAACCATTCGTTGGATGCATCGTACAAACCCTTATGCCTCTCTTGAAAAATACATGCCCCTGTCCAAAGTCCTCGGCTTTTAACATTTTCCAAAGTATTTGCACCCTGAAGGAGTTTCCACTCTGCTTAACATAAAATAACTTGTTGCCATGGCTTTCCTGTTGATTATTCATCTTATTTATATTTGTGTGGAGAGCTATATAAAAGGTCGTGCCTTCGAAATGAGAATCGACTTTGAAATGTTGGTAAAACGGGGATTCTTTTGAAGAATTTGAAGATCTATAAAATTACGGGTGTACAGGCGAGTAGGCTTTAATACCTGGACTCACGGATCATATTCAGCATAAACTAGAAATCGAAGTGGCACAATTTCATTTATTCAGTGTTTTATGTGCTAAAAGTGAAACTGACCATTCTTTTTATGATAAACTTTTCAAAAGCATTTTTTAAACTATTTTTCTGTACTCAATTTGAAAAACCCAGAGCTATGTTTGGAGGCGCAAAAACAAGTGTGGAAAATTCCTTCAACTGTTCAACCTCAGTTCCAGCCCTTGGAAATTTTTGGAGCCTCTTGGTCGTCATTAGACACCTTGCGGTGAAACAGTTCTTAATAGGTTGGTTTGTTTCAGCCTTTAAAGAGACATTTAAAAGAAGCTATCTCGAGGCATTGGGTGAGAGTTTTGACACTCAGTTGTATAGGGGTAGGCACCCAGGCAGCGGACCGATGTTGGCCCAAGGCTCGGTATCAGACGTTGGACAAACGTTAGCTACAGACGTATACATGTAACTGCTTTATTTCTGTGTGCGTCGCAGAGTTGGTCAGCATGGACGTCAGTTTTTTTGTCGAAATGTGACGTTGGTTTGAAGTCCACCTTTGAACGTTGAACCGAATATGGTCAATATCTGACGTTAATCAACGGTCCACGTTTTGACGTCGGGTGGACGTCCGTATGTAATCTCTGTGTGACTTTAATTTGCATGTCAATACGAATGTGGCGTTTGCACATTTCCCGAGTGATTTTGCCCTTTTTCATTAGTTTCGCAGGCATTCGATTTTTTTTTACAGATGTTTCGCTTTGTAAATGTAGTTTTGCATATAAACGCCATTCATTGCCGGAAAAAATAATATTGTCGTGTGAATGAATTTTTTTGTTTTTGTCTACCCTCGATGATTACTTTAGGAAGGCTATTGAACAGAAACAGCTCCGTTTTTGAATTATCAAAGTGTGATTCTGAAAAATAGAACAGGGTGTAAAGATGTAGTCTCTGGTTACATGAGCAAGTTGACAAAAGTTCGATTTGTTAACAAATAAATGGAAATCCCGACCCTAGGGGAGGCTTCCAGAAGTAATAGGTACCGGTAGGTTATATTTTAGTCCATAGGACGTCATTTCAACGTCGGCTGGACGCGAAAAAAGAAAATAAGAAAAGGCCGAATAAACGTCGACTGAAAGTATAATAATCAAGAAACAGCATCGCCTCAATGTCAATTGACGTTTTCGTGGCATTTTAACGTCAATTTAACGTCTTCTCAACCTGTGAGTTATACGTCATCCTGACGTCGGCCCCGGGTGCAAACATGCCGCCAGAAAGACGTCAGATATGGACGTTTTTTCAACATTAACTTGGTCACCGCCTGAAGTTATGACGACGTCATTACAACATCGGTCTGCTGTTGGGGCACTCAGTGCATAAGCCTGCATAAGCATCACCTAGCCAACCTTGATGTACTTTTAAAGTATTCATAGATCTGGGTAAACGGAATAATGTCATGAAACTAGTAATATGAATCAGATTAAAAAAATACTAAAAACCGTAAGTGCTAGTCGACCGTAACCGGGCTAACTTTAGTAATCCTTAGTATTTACAGATCTGTATTTAGTAAACAGATTAAAATCGCACTTGTAGAATTTCAGTCATAGGAACAATCGATTACCCACAATGATCATTTATTATTGTTTGGAAAAGAGCAATCCACAAAAACGACATATTTAGAAACAATAACTATTACACATTAACGAGTCTTTAGTAAAGAGATAGGCCTAATCGTGTCGAAATGATAAGCCTTACCTTTTCAACTGTAGTGTCGATAAAATTATTAATGACTACGACCAGTACCCCACCGAGTATAATCAGAACTGCTCCCAGCACGCTGAACACATAAGCCCAGTTTTTTGAACAGCAACAATTTCTCATCGTGTGACTGTTGGACCTATACTGTTCAAAGATTGAAAAACGCGGCTCTTAAAAGCAGCAGGCCGTATACGGCGTGGATCCCCAACGTTAACGGCGTCCGTCCATCCTACAAACAACTGAAACAACAACAGGTAGGTTCTTCTGGTAGGTGACTTCAATGTCACGCTGGTCGATTCAGACCTTCCAACAAAATGACCGAATTGATCTTTGCGTCCAAATTCACCTTTTAACGCAGGGCACCTGCAGTTCGAATCGATGTTTCGTTTCCAGTCTCAGTCACGCTCTTCCATCGGAGAGGACTACCATACTCTTACTTCTCTTCCTGAAACTGAGCGTGCACTGAATAGTCGTTGCCTAGATCCGGGGCCTTTTACAGTCGGCACGGACACCAGCCAGGAGTGAAACACCTCCCAACGACGGCCTCGGAGGATTTAATTTTCCGGATGATCGAACTCATCTGTTTCCACATCCAGGAACTGTTGGTATAAACATAGACGTAGGGAGTTTAGTTGTTCAAAGGCAGTTTCAAAGTCCTACCGATTAAAATCCTTTTTGTTTCTGCCAAGCCAAACACAGAGGGCTGAACCGTAATTTTCTCGCTGCCTTTTCTTTTTTTTTTTCAAAATTCAAGTAGGGCCTATGCAAATCTAAACTAAATAGAATTAAAACTAAATAAGACCTCGGAGATAGCAAGATAAAAAGAGTTACTGATTAACCACAGGCTCGAACCGGGACGTGATCGCAATATCAGTGTTCACCCAGCTGACATTCCAGGTGTTACTGATGGGGCATTTTCTTCCCATTTATTTCACATTTTCAATTTTAAGCCTTTGTAAAAATGGGGCTGGGCAGGCAGTGCAGAAATATTTGAAAGGGAAAATTGGCAAAAACGAATCGACAGTTTAAAAATACCAGTTTGCTTTCCTTCCCTGTTTCGTAGTTCATGCATGTATTTCATTTCCGGATATTTTGTACTTGAGGACTCTTGCGTGTGTGTCGTTTAATCTCAGCTCCTCTGGCCCAATCACTGCTTCGTCAACTTAATTTTCACTCTAGAAAACGCCTGGTGAATGATTTGTTTTGAGATTTGAAAGTGGAATATGAAAAAGAAATGAAGTGTTGAATTTAAAACCTTATCATGGGGAGGAACACACGGGCGAGGGAACATGCATGAAAAAAAAAGTTTCCTTCTGCTATAGCACGTGCATATGTGTCCTGTCGCTTTCGAGCAGTCGATGTCCGTGAACAAGTTTTCCGTGTCAATCCGCAAGGATAATGAATTGGTACTTTATAATCTGTTACCACGGTCTTGTTTAAACTGGATTAGCGTGTAGTTTTACTATGTTTGCTTCATGATTTATGTCGGTTCAATGTTTTGTTGGTTTATTAGCAGTATCGGTAGTGAAGAAGTTTTGATAACAAGTGCTCCCAGGAAGGATGAAAAAGCAGTACCAGGACAGCGCATAGAAGCGTTGGGTTTAAATTTCTTGCGTTAATAAATTTTGTTTTAATATGAATTACGACAAAAAGACACTTATGCTCTGGCACTTATTTCTTGATTTCATCAATCAATTAATTTAATGTTACATTTTGTATCAGGGGTTCTGTTCTGAAAGTTTGCGTATCAAAGAAAACTACCGAAACAAAATTTACACGATCCCCTTGATAACTGTCAAACAGTAATTGAAAACAGCGTTTCTTTCCAGTCGGGTCTTTGTCTAATTATGCCCATACTGGCTATGTGTAATGTTTGTTCAGGATCGTAATTCGTATTGTGGCCTATAAAACTATATCAACGCCCCGCACAAATCGATCACTCTTTCTATTGATCAGTATTTAACATTTTTGGCAATTGCCGCCTTGGTCCAGATTTATAAACATATTTTTACTCTTGGCACAAATCCAAGAAACGAAGCATTTAGATTCATGTGAATTGGAGATTCTTCGTAGTAAACCCAGGTTAGACGATTGGCTGCATTCGTAAATAAATTTCCATAAATTTCTACTGATTTTGTCTTGGATTGTATGCAGATGCACCCTGAATATCGCTGCCATATTCCCAGTAGTATATCCTCGTTATAATAAATGTATAGTTTTGCTGCTTCACTCTTCAAATTAGTCCCTTGAAAAGTCAATTTTGGCAACTTCGTGGCCGTGCCAAAACTTCTGAGTTGAAAGTTAATTTTAACTTCTGCTGCACTGTGATTAACCCTCTGACTGTTATGTTTATCACTATAACGGGTGCGCGTGAACTCCAGTTGACATCCTTAATGAGATGCGGTAAGATTGAAAAGTGCCCTTTGGATGGGTGGCAGGGCAGGAAAACTTTTGTGGCACTCGATGATGAGCGAGATGAGCCTTCTCGCTGTTGAAAAAAACACCTCTCCTCATGCTGTGCGTGCGTAATCTTCATAATGATGTGTATTGAAAGAACCGTTTAATTGAATGGTCACAAACTTCATAAAATGGCGTCATTCACGTGACACTGTTGTTGGTGAAGACAGTATATGGGGCAAAGTACTTGAGTTAAAAACAAATACTGATCATCTCTAATCCACGTGCGTATGGAATGTGAAACTACGCTCTGTGTTGCGGTTTAGACAGCTGCACCCACATTAGACAAAGTGCGCCATCTTTTGGCCAAAAAAGTTTAGACAACGTGACTATGAGAACTGAATCAGTGCAAAGTCAAGCACACACTTTTTTTACAAGCCCAAGGTTCTCTCATTTACAGTTTTGTACAATTCCTCAAATCTTGGTATTCATAAAAAACTGACCTCGTTGTGTTGTTTCAGAGTTTGATTAAAAAGGAATCACATTGTACACCAGACCTACGCTTTGAAGTTACTACCTGTTCTCTGTGAAATTACCCAACATAACATTTTGTGCACAATCACAGGAAAAATAGAGCCTAAGTGTAAAGTCAAGTCAGTTAGCTTCTACAGTAAAATAATCCACAAGTAGGACACCGTGGAAGAAACTAAGCACAGCAAATTTCTAGGAAAGTCACCAAGGCGACTTCCAAATACAGAAAAGAACCATTCACCTGATGCTAAGGGTTAACTCCATATTACACCACTGGCCTGGATTCGCCACGAAGGCTAAGCGTTGTCACAGAGGCTAAAACGTCACTACTGTGGTGCTACTCGCTAGGCGTGGTGCGAAGTTATAGATGGCGCTCTGCCAGAGGCAGATGTTAGGCGTGCATAGCTGTGTGTTAATCAAGCGCGGCTGATAGGCTCCGCCTTGTGCGTAGTGCGATTGGGCAGCGGAAGTCACTGCTTGGTCACGTGAGCGCGTGCGCGGGCGTGGTCACAGCAGCACGAAGGCTATAAAAACGCGCGCAGGCGAGGTTTACTCGTCGAGTCCTAGCCTGATCAAGGGCTGACACTGAGGTAAGGATCAAGAATCTTAAGCAAGGGTTAAAGTCACCTAGCCTAGTGTGACTGTGCCTAAGTCCAGAGTGGTGCGTGTGTCGTTTAAGGATTCGGTGCGTTGAGGGGCTAATTGGTGATGCGGTATAGTTCCTGATAGGGCATATTGCTATCTCGTGACGTGAGTTGCGTGTAGCGCAGCCCTAGCCCTGACAATAAGCCCCGTAGACTTGCTAAAGTCCATGATTCGGCACTGGATGCCCACAACTAATTGTGGTGTTTGTGCCGGCCGACGCGCCGCGCCTCGAGGAGGAGGGCGCCCTCGCCTTCGTCGGAGGGGCGCGGCGTCACACTACTAAAAAGCGCACGATCCCAGGCTAAATGAATGTCATAAAGGCTAACTATAATGCCACACAGGCTGAAGTATCACAAACTACAAAACCAAGCCTTAAACATTAAGAATTAACAGTTTATCTTGGTCCAGATTGGCCCCCCACATCTTCGGCAGAATTCGTAGCGCTCTGCCAACACATGTTGCCACGCCCTCACTAGACACAGCGGAGAACAGTCAGGATGGAGAACATCTTGGCCGGACCAAAAGGTTGTGAAATGACACAAGGAAGGGCGCTCTGGAAAAGTTAATAAATCCAACTCCAAAATGTTGTACAATATTGTTCCTAATAGCTGACAATTTATTAAAGTTGTAACCCTTCCAGAAAACATAAAAAAGTGACATTTCTATCAAAATATTGCAGAAATCTCTTCTCCCATAAATTACTCAAAAAATAAAACAGTTTATTTCTTACAGTTTGTGGCCTCACGGTTGTCTGCAGTCAGTCACCAGTTCTGAAGTCAGTCCGCTCAGAATGGGGGAAAGATGTTCATAAAAATGGCAACCCCAAAGAGAACAAGGTCCTTTAGCAAACTTTTAGCTCGCTGGATGGAAGAGCTTGACCACTGGTGTTAAAATGTTAAACAGCAAGACAGCTGACTGACCATGGGTAGCACACCTTTGATTTATGTACACCACACTCTCTCACACTCCAGTGCACCCAGTGAAAAGACCACACCTACCTCAAACATCCCATCAGTTTGTATTTACCATTTAAATACAAGGTCCACAATCTAGCGCCCAAAGTGTTAAATGCAAATCGGTGGCATCAAAGACTGAAATGAATATTTAAATCCAGCAGCTTCCTTTTGTTGTAACCAAAATGGGGAAACACAATAAAACTGTACGTTAATGGGCTGAGATCTGACAATGATGGGTTCCAGGAAATACGTGTTGCTGTCACGAGGGATCCACTTAAACAAAACGAGAAAACGGAACTTTTTGCTACTAATTGTAATCGCTGGAGAGTAGCGTGTGTGTGCACCAAAACCCCAAACTGAAATTCAACAGTGTGTGTGTACTTGTCAGGAGGGATGGGGATGCTGGATAACACAGGACACAAGGGTTTACTGAAATAACACTGCACGTCATGTGTAATTCCGACCTCACACATCTTTACCTTAACAAAACTATTAACTCTTGTCAATCTAGTCAGGGTTCAGAAAAAATAAAATCAGTTTTTGCTCATGGACAAGGCTGAATGGGTGAAGAATTATATTGACATCAACTTGTCTAACATTGGGGGCGCTCATGTAAACCTCCGACAATCGCGAAATTTAAAGCTTTGCCTGGGCCAACGGCCCTTAACCGACAAGTGCCAACTCTCCAGGCAGTAACCATCACTCGTATAGTGTAAGAGCCACCGAAGTCCCCCCAAACGGTTTTTATCTTTCCATTGCGTGTTTCGATCCACGTGAACGCTCTATTTAGTGTCGTCCCATCCAAACCTGTTCAGCTCTCCAGAACACTTCATCCAGCTGAACCCTGAGATTGCAAAGTTGCTCCCTCGGGTCAGAGTCTTCAGATATCAAGTGATAAAAGCAAAACCATAAGGCCCTCCAGGTTGTCATTAAAGCTCTAATGGAACAGGTGATTCGTAATTGAAGAGCCCCTTGCAATTGTCTTGGGAGGGTTGCTCAAGTCACAGAATCCTTCTCTCATCATTGGATTCCATACTTTCTCTTCCCAGACAAAAAATGTCTTTCGAAAATCCCATTTCTCCAGCATATGCGTTTGCTGTTGCCGTTGGCCTCAGAATCTTGGATCCTTATACACATTAGCTCTGTGTGTTATCTGCTCTCGCAACTCTCAAGTGTTGAAAACAAACTCAAAAGATATCCCACGCTTGGCAAACTCTCTAAAATTTTCGTTACCGGCTAAAGATGTTTTTTGTTATTCGTTATGTGAGACTTGGGAGGGACTTAAGTCGATTTTCAGAACGCCTGTTGATATAACCGGCAGTTAACCACTTACAAACTTCCCCCCTTCTTACAGAATTTTCAAAATCCAACAACGATTACAAAAACAACTTCTCAAAGTAATTCAATCAGTGGAAGTGGGACACTTACTGTCAAATTCCCTGGGTTCGATTTATTCAATAAGAATCATATTTGTTCCAGACGGCCATTACATTCGCCTTTGCAATAATACGCAAAGTTTACATTGCCGGTCAATAGACTGGACGTGTTAGCAACAGACAGCAGCATGGAAACTGCAGCAAGATACTTGAAACTTAACAATTTAGCTCAAACTTACACTCTCTGGCGGTGTAGAGTTATCATTTTCCGGAGGCAAAGACGGAGGTAATCGCTTGTGTGTTGACGCACTTTGATTGATTAATTTCTCAAATCTGCTTTTCTAAAATTGCCCCTCCAAAACCTCCTTTGTTGTAATTTCGTTTTTGAGAAAAAAATCGGTTGTTTATCGCTCAGCTTCTTGTCAACGACCTGAGGCGGTCGTCTTCCCGGCTTATTTTGTAGACGAAGAAACTTAATACTGAAATTGGATTTGTCTGCTGTCGTTTATTTTCTTCGTTTTCCTTCCTCAGGCCTGCAGTTTTCTGCTGTACTAATTACCATGTGAATGAAATGTAATAAGATTTTCTCTTTGAGTAACTAGGATCGACCTAGCATTCCAAACTTCAAGTTTCGCACGTAGTTCCTACGTGCGTGCAGAAAAAAAGTTCGTTTTTCGAAACGGGCAAAACTTTTCTCAGGATTTCTCTGGCTCAGTGTACTTAAACAGGAAACACGTTTTCCGTTATTTTAAATATTTGAATAGAACTGCAGTGGGGTATGAATTAAGCATGAAGGTTGAATGGACTGGTTTGCTAATGGTATTTGAGGAACATCGAGGTGAAAAACACCTCAACTGAGTTATAATTAAGGGTTTTCAGGCTATCATGGAACTCTCTTACCATTAACTGGTCTGCTTCTGGGCTTGTTTTTTTTTTTAATTCCACACTATACAAGTCTTGATATAGAACACAAATTGTGAAGACAAGAAAACGGAACTCAATGAACTAGTCCTGGCTTACGACCTTTCCTACGTAATGAACCTTATAGGTTTGGTTAGTTCGTCTAATTACGAGCTAGCTACGGCTGTCGAAGGGACTTTAAAGATCAAACACATTGCTTTGACGTAAAATGGTTATTTAACAGGGAATTGGTCATTGTTGCACATATCATGACAAACGTGGCAGCTTCGCATTTATAAAAAATCGTCAATTTGGGAGTTCAGTTCCACCGCAAGAATGCTCAGAGTAAAAAAAAATGCATCGATGAGGGCAGCAAACAAATCAACCGATTTACTGATGTCGTAATACAGCTTTCATCCCCAGAGTTTCTTGGCTTTAATAGGGGGCTTTATAGCACAAGAACAGAGAAAAACAGGCAAAGTAAGTTAGATGTCATCCTCGGCAACTGACCACGGCCCTCTGCATGAAATTCAGCAGGACCTTAATTACTCCGGTGCAAATTGGGAGGGTTCAACTTTATCATACGACCCAGTGTTGATCAACAATGCCGACGGAAAAGCAATTCCCAGTCGCTCTCATTCTTCGACTTCTAGTAATTTACAGTTAAGTGCAAGTAAGCACAGCACTCACGCATGCGGGCGAGTTCGCCCTGAAATAATGAAACAGTCTTATGCTATTGCAGAGCCGAAGTGTGATGTCATCAAAACAGGCTTATTGGATGCTCCCAACGAATTTTGTTTTCAGTTTGCCTGATATAAAGGAGGACTTCAACTCGTGTTTTTGACGTCAGTAGTAATCTTTATTTATTTTGTACATAATAGATTGTTTTAAAAATGCATGTAATTAAAATTGATAAAAAGTGAAATTGTGAACTACCAATGTGAGTGATCTAAGGAAAATACCAAACTTGTGATTACTTTCAATACCTGTTTAATCATACTCCAATGTACTCAAAAGCCGAATCACATGGAGTCGGTTGAAAATACCGTGCTCATCTACGGAAGCCCCAAGTTCGCAGCTTTGGGACGTCATCTTTATATGCGTGATGCTATCTTCATCCGTTACCAAGAAATTCTGACAT